TGAGTGTTTTGTCATCACCTCCACTTGACGACGGAGAACCTCTTCATGACGCTGGAACAAAGCTTCATGACTGCCAATCACTGCCAACAGTTCTTTGGTACTGAGTGCCTCTGGGTCCATGTCTGACTCGGTGTTTCTGTCACGACTGGGTCTTGAACCCGGGTCTCTGGTGTGGAAACCGATGTGTATACCACTAAGCCACAGAGGAAGTTGTGTTGGACCCACACGAAAACACTCCAAGAGGGAATCCGGAAAACAAGCATTTATTAAAAAAAATATCAACTTAGGTTCTTCTCAAAAATGAGGTAGCAAAACAGACAACTTAGGTTCTTCTCAGAATGAGGTATACAAAATACTCTAACAGTATAATAAACATGTAAAGAAAACTCCACGAGGGGAGAAAACAAACAGATAATTAATGCTGTCAGCAACAAGGAAAATAAAACACTCTTACTAGATGTAGCTCAGGAGATCAAGGGAAACGCAAGGCAAGTTCACCAGAGATGACTCAAACACCGAGTGAGGAACACAGACAAAGTGACAACTTAAATACACTGGCTGGAACAAGTCACAGGTGATCTAAATTAAGTAAACAAGAACACATGAGGAAGAACAAATACAGAGGGGAAACACGGGGACCTCTAGGGGAATGGAGACAAACTGAAGGATGGTGACATATATTGTTTAGTTTTGGAGTACGTCGTTGTATTTTGCACTGTCTGTCTGGAGCCAGCACCTAAGCTTTTCACTCATTGTAGTACATGTGCTGCTAATGATGTGACAATAAAAAGTGGTTTGATTTCTCTTTAGAATCAAACATGAGGAGAAGGTTGAGATGATCAGATTAATTCCATTACCAGCGTAAATTTATTCATAATACTACATGTTTTCATTCACTTAACAGAACCAAATAAAAAAAGTAAACCGTTTTGGAACTGAACAATCTGTGCCCATGTATCCATACATAATACTTCAGATTGAGCCATAAAAACACTGTATTTTTGGAACTGGCTCTGAATAAGAACCCAAATATATATACTAAATCACTCAAAACATGTACCCACATACACAGAGAGTGAGAAGCAGTCAAATCATTAGTGGTCATTCGTGTAGATTGGTCACTCAGCTGGCATATTTTGTGGAGAACAATGCCTGAAAGAACCTCATTCACTAACCGCATTTCTAAATAAAATGTGTGTCTTTGTTTAAATTGTATTTGTATGCTCCAAAATTCAACACAAACACTGCACGAACCAAAAATAGGCCATCATCTGGGCCTCGGCGAGCCACTGCGGTCAGTGTTTCTTCTGTCGGCCGCCCAGGGAGTGGTTCACTGAAGCTTCCTGCAGCTGAGAATAACCTTCAGTCCAGCAGACTGACATTCAACAACACCAAACCCACGCTGAACATCTAAACTGCTGCTGTCCCTCAAAGCCTGTTCACTGGATCAATTCTGGCTGGTTATGATATTATGAAACTAACAAAAGTCGCCTATCCCAAGTTTTAGGAACAACAAATAATAGCTTGACTTCTAGCTGATTGTTTGGTATCAAAAGTTTCTTATATTGAAGGCAAAGGCCTCTAAATTATGCTTATTTTACTAAAATAAAATATGATCATGCTTTGATTTTTAATTATTTCATTAGGACAGTAAGGTCTGACTTTGCTTAGACAAAAGTCTTGTCACTTAACAGAAATAATGTACAGTATAGAATATAAAGTCATGGTGCAGTGGAAAAAGAATGAATATTGTGTATGACTCCCGTGAGCTAGGACGACTGCAATCATTCATCTCTGCAATGACTCAAATAACTTATTAATAAAGTCATCTGGAATGGCAAAGAAAGCGTTCTTGCAGGACTCCCAGAGTTCATCAAGATTCTTTCGATTCATCTTCAATCCCTCCTCCTTTATCTTACCCCAGACATGCTCCATGATGTTCATGTCTGCTGACTTGGCTGGTCAATCCTGAAGCACCTTGACCTTCTTTGCTTTCAGGAACTTTGATGTGGAGGCTGAAGCAATCCTGCTGATGAATTTGCCCTCTCCTGTGGTTTGTAATGAAATGGGGAGCACAAATGTCTTGATACCTCAGGCTGTTGATGTTGCCATCCACTTTGCAGATCTCTTGCACACCCCTATACTGAATGTAACCCCAAACCATGATTTTTCCTTTACAAAAATTGACGGATTTCTGTGAGAATCTTGGGTCCTTGTGAGTACCAATAGGTGTTCTGCAGTATTTGTGATGATTGGGATGCAGTTCAAAAGATGATTAATCAGAAAAATCAACCTTCTGCCACTTTTCCAAATCATCAATTAAAAGTCAAGTTATTATTTGTTGCTCTTACAACTGGGATCGACGACAAGACTTTTGTCAGGTAGTGTATGGTATCTTTAAACTGTCAATGTATCATTTCCTACAGCAAAAATCAATACGTTTCCCAAGATGCCACAACATTTTGAAGCTTCTGCATTGTAAAGTGTTAATAGGTCAATCAAAAAAAAGTCATTATAATGGAAGTCAAATGGGGAAAAACAGCCACCAACATAACAAAAGGGAAGTACACTTGCCCAGAGTATATTGTTGTTTTCAAAGCATTTTTTACCAAAATGTGTCAAAATAAGATGTCACCTAAAATAATTCCATTTGTTGAAACACAGAGAAAACTATGGCCAAATTAAGACTCAAAATAAATAAAAACAACCCCAACAGCACACAAGGATTAACAATGTAGCAATAAAGCAAATGAATAAATGACTCAATGACTTCATTTCCTAGCCAAATTTGAAACAATTAATTAATTACATTGGTTAGTCGATACACTCTGTGTTTAATTAGAATTAACAGTGTAATCATTTGACACCGCAAATAAAAAATTTAAATCATTGCTTTACAGTTTTATAACTGTTACAATTTTTATAAAGGTATCTTTAAAAAAATTATAACTTTTGAACTTTGTTAGAGTGCATCTGTAAAAAATATCGAGCCAAAATTTACAATGTTTACAAATGCATTTTTGGCATTTTTATTTTTTGGCATCTTGAATTACTTTTAATTCTTATAAAAAGCTATAGCTTAAAAAACATGATTTTATATGTCTGTCTATTGTACTTAATAAAATGTACAATAAAAATAAGTAGTAATAAGTAGTAGAAAAGGTTTTACTTCACCATAACTTCGCGTTATACCATTAAACTGCTTTTGGCCTTCATCCTTCCTTTTCTTTTATAGTGAGCTGATTTTCTTTTCATTCTTGACAACACGACTCGATCACTTCTCGCGTCTGTTCAGTGTCAGAACATACCGCAAAGAAATCATAATTTTTTTTAAGGAAGAACAGAGGCTTTGAAATATGAAAAACAACTCTCAGCACATTTTTGGGAAAAATACACTTAATTACACTAGTAGAGTTGCTAAACCCCCCACTAAAGTCTGCAAACCCCTAAAATTGTTCACACCTTTTCACCCCATTAGCAACGGTTCTGCTCAAAGTGCAAAGTCATGTTAACATTTCCCAGTTCTTACTTCAATAACTGACAGGGAAGCGTGCTTACTGACAACTCAAGCTGAGAAAGCGCTAACTGGAGAACAGGAAAGCAGAATTATCAGGGGAGTTGAAGAGGTCAGTGTGTGCCACTAGAGCAAAAAAGCAACAATCTCCCTTACGTCCTAGACAATCCAGTTCGCTTGGACTTCTGGGTTTGATCCAAGCCTCAAAATACTCTCCCAGATACCAGAGGAACTTGCCAAGGCTGCTCAAAGCCTGTCACACACATATACACACTGACTTTCTGAGGTTAGGCGGGGGGGAGCTCCTCAATTCAAGCATCAGGCTTGTGTTACTTCAGTTAACAAGATAAAAAGCAGTCTCAGATGTGCATTTGCAGGCTTCACTTAAACGTTAAGAGGAAAAGAATTACTGTATTCATCTTCTGAAGGACACTATGAGGACATTTGAAGAAGATACATTGCTTTTTTTGATGTTTGTTGTACATTTGCACTGTTTTTGTCCCCGAAAATAAAGTAAAGGCCAAAGTATACTTTAATTTGTGTGCATATGTGTGCAGAGATATGGTATCATTATTGGGAGATACAGGTGTATTTGTTATGGCAACCAATCACAGACTTTGTGACCATTATTCATTCTTCACATTCTTCACACTACCATAATATATACTCTATATGTGGCAAAACTGAATAAAGTTCTTTCATAAAACTGCATTTTTTGTTTGTGTGTGTAAACTCTAAAACATAACGTTTTGCTAACTTTGGAGGCTTGCCCTTAAGAAACGTAGTTTATTCTAAGCACTCATACAATGCAAGTGATTTAAATAGTTTTTCACCACTTGTCAAAGGATGTCAAAGCTACGCCAGTTCATGCTTCCACAGTCAAAAAACAAGGAAGATTGAACAAACAACAATCTTCTGAAGAGAACAAAAACAATAGAAGCTAATGCTGACGAGTGCTTATGTAAAGGGTTTGTGCTTAAACCATGCATAAATAGCTTTTGACTGTTGATTAATGTGATCTTAAGTAACGTCAGCAGACAAGCAAAGTTGTTTCAAAGTGCAACTTTTATTACTGTGGATTTACAGTTAAAATATGATTCCCCAATGCTAAATTAAAACGTCAGTGAGGGAACTGTGCTTTAATCTGTACATTGGCCCAGAAATAAATGGTTTCAGCTCTATTCAAAACGGAGAGGAACAATAACTCAGCCCTCAACTCTGTTCTAAATTTGAACATTTGGGTTCCAAATTCACAGCTATAGATACTCTACCTCTGTCAAGACACAAGCTGTTTTTACTAAAAATGTCCAATAAACTGCTTGAATTTAACACCAAATTTTTTTTTTTTTCATACAAATGTTCGTCTGAAACTGAATTGTCTGTGGAAACTTTTCAACGTCCAGGTCCTCAGTGAGATAAATGGTATTTTAGCAATGTTTCTTTTGCACATATTGTTACAAATTGTTCAGAAGAACATGCTTAGTACCTCCTTCAGACAAGGAGTCATTGAAGACCCCCTCGATGACCTGGCAGCTGCTTCCATCTCCTCCACAAACACGGCAGCGATCTTCCCGCACATCTGAGCCCAGGATCCGGTCACAGCCCACATGCTGCACACAGATACAAATTCAGAAGGGTCAAGGGAAAAGTCACAATGTTTAAATGGGTCATGTATTGACAAAAGATTTCCTTAGATAGTGACTTTATTAAAATTATTGTTATTGTATTACACACTGCAATATTTAATCCTAAGCATTGATTAATGCACACATTTGCCATGGAAAAGTTTCAATATGATTCTACGATGCCACAACATTGATTTCCATCCAGAGATGCATTATTTTGGAAAGTTGGACTGCTGTGTGAGTCTTCTTCAGCACATCCCAAAGAATCTCAATAGGGTTAAGTTTTGGACTCTGTGTGGCCAATCCATGTGCAAACATAATGTCTTGTGCTCAAATTGTGAAAGAGTGGTTGGGGGAGCATAATGAATACTGTAATTGTCATCTTGGAATATGCATGCCGTCAGAGAAGAAAAAAAAATCCACTGATGGATTAACCTGGTCATTTAGTAAATTCAGGTAGAAAGCTCACCTCATTTTTTTGGCACATAACATTGATTCATTTTACATGGACATCAATAAGACAATAATGTGATTAGGGTGTTTACATAAGCTTACATGCTTTTTGAATGTTCCTTTTATGATCCCGTTTTACATGTTATAGCACATAATTCGACTAAAGTCAATGCATCACTACGCTATCTACATTTCCTCCAGAGTTTCATGCAATTTCTGGTGTTTCATTTTTAGTTTGTCTAGTTTACCTGCAGTTTGGCACTTTTACTTTCATTCAGGAACATTTCATGCATGCCCCCCATAACAAACAAGATATTGGATGCGAGTATGAACTGCTGGACGAGTGTTTTGTGATGCAGGTGTCTGTGGTCCTTCACTGATTTGGTAGTTGCAGAGAATAGTGTCAAACAGCTGTGTGTATAGACTATCCTGTCACAAAATGCAATGAAATTCCTACACGACTGTAATAGTTTGAGTAAGGTGTTTACATGATTGCACTGCACTTCAATAATGCGTCTAAAATCGGCATACTCCACATGTCTTAATTCGATTTCTGTTTAGTAAGATTATGACCTTAATCAGATTAAACTATTCAAAAATCCCTGTTTACATGGTAGACTCTTAAGCAGAATATTGTCTTAATTGTATTAAAATTGGATCACTTATGTCCATGTAAACGTACCCACTGCAGAACTTAGACCTGACCAACTGCAGCATCCCCAAATCATAGCACATCCACCTCTCTTCTTACCTTCATGCACCCTTAACTGTGGAACAGAGCAAATCTGGAGCACATGACCTTTAATAAGCCTCACTGACAAGTGGTTTTCTTAAGGCTACACATCTGTTTAGTTCCAATCCCTTGAGTTCCCTTCACATTGTGCATGCGGAGATCCTCTCACTTCCATTATTAAACATAGCTGTGAGTTCTACTGTTGTTTTTTAACAATTTGACTTCAACAGATGTTAAAGTGAGTGCAGATTGCATTTATTTAAAATATTTGTGGACCACATTTCTTCCACATAGATGATGGTTCCACACTAAACTTGCAGTTTTTAAAAAAGTGTTGGAAAGTTCTTAACCCAATTTTAGTTGTTTTTGTAATCGCTTCAGATGTTTTCTTTGCTTGATTCATGCCAATTATATGACTTTTCTGAAACATATTAATATATTTAACATGACAACAAGATAGCGCAGTGGGTAGCGTTGTGACCTCAAAGCAAGAAGGTTTTGTTTAAGTCCCGGCTGGGCCAATTGGCATTTCTATGTAGAGTTTGCATGCTCTCCCTATTTTTATGTGGGTTTCCTCAGGGTGCCCCGGTTTTTTCCCACAGTCCAAAGACATGCACTATAGGTGAATTAAGTAAGCTAAATTTTCTGTAGTGTATGTGTGTGAATGAGAGTGTATGGGGGTTTCCCAGTGATAAGTTGCAGCTGGAAGAGCATCCTCTGCGTAAAACATATGCTGGATAAGTTGGCAGTTCATTCAGCTGTGGCGACCCCTGATTAATAAAGGGACTAAGCTGAAAAGAAAATGAATGAATGAATGACAACAAGATGTGTCTTCCAACTTGGTTGTTTAAGAAATGAAAAGCTACTCAATGCATCAGTTAGAGTAAATGGTTTTTAATGCACCAGTTTTCTTAACCATTTGCTTATTTAAATCCAGGTAGTGACTTTTTTTGGACAGGTGTTTGTATGTGTTAACACATTACTTCTGACAGGCCTGCTACAAACATAAAGCTTTGACATATAATCCCGAGAGCAATCGCAGAACTTGAGAGATCACAATCGATTTTCACTGACACTGAGCAAAGAAAAGTTTTTTTCTGCAGAGGGGCCAAATCTGCACAAAATCCAGACCCTTAATGAAGCATCTGAAGAGTCTCTGCTGTCAGGATTTAAAAGGCAACACACAAGCTGAACTCAGTAACCGGCAGGACCTGAAGTTGCTTGAGACTTTCCAAATCCAGGCCTGTGCAACTTCACAGAAATCCCACTAAAGCTCCAAAGGATTTGGTTGACCTGGCCTAGATTCCACAACCTGCAAATGTGTGACCTATTTCCTCACAACAACAATGGTAAGTCAGTGGTTGGTTTGAGAAGACAGGGCATGTCCTGTGCCGGACCTAACAGAGCCGAGCTTTGAGACTCATGGTTCCATGGGCTGTTTTCAATGCCTTGTGCTTCAAAGCCCTTGCTCTCATAATCAAACCCTTATTGTTTGGGAGTTAAGCCACCATGAGGCTGCAAACACTACTTTGATTTCTCTCCCTGCTGTTCTTTGGGTTTTATATGCACCATAAATAAGAAAGCAGAGAAACGAGTGAGGAAAGGAGATGGAGGAAGAGGAGGGAAGGAAAGAAACCGAAAAAAAGAATGAGAGTTGACGGCGGGGAGGGAGCGAGAAGTCGCTGTGATCATGTTCAGCTGCGTGTACTGAGGAGAGAAGGATCTGGGGGGGTCACAGAGTTCTTCAACATTCAGAGCAGAACAGAGCAGGGTTGGACTCAGCTGAACTGTTGATAAAAACAACCAATGGTCTGGAGAAGCCCGCAAAGATAAACCAGTCCAATAAACTGTGTGAGAGGATGACCATTTCTGTTGACTGGCGTAACACAAGCACACACACACACACACACACACACACACACACACACACACACACAAACAGAAACCTACCTCATTTCTGTAATCTCCTGCTGAGGCGATGAGGATGCACATGCATACCATTAGAATACTGGTTCCCCATACACGCAAACATATAAACTCCATTCCCATTCCTGACAGTGAAACACGATGAGCTTAACACACACATATACGTGCATCATGAACACTGTGTATTTGTTTTTCATTTTGTTTTGATCCTATAGCGTTATATACTTAACTGTGTTTGTCAGAGTCTGTGTAGTCGGTCGTCCGTGTTGCTTTCCTACATCACTCAGCAAACCCAGGCACCGCCCTGCAGCCTAGCTATGTAGTGCTAGAGTCGTAATGCCTTGGCTCAAAGCAACCGGAAGCCGACTTGCCCATTGTCTGTCTTAAAGGGGAATTTCTAAATAATATGTTTGTGTTATAATGTGTTTATTTATGTAATATTACTATATTTAAATTTATTTTATCATGGGAAAATGTGTAAGTTTAAAGTAGATGTTCTGTTTATGTACATATTTATCTTATGAAATAAATATTTATGTTCTACCTTTTATACTTACCTTACTGTTTGATTTGTTTGGTTTAATCCAAAAAGGCAGAGCATGGGCTAAAAAACTAGAGGACCAAATTAGAGAGTGGGAAATGGGACCTCATGAAGCACTGTGGCTTTCTTTTAACTATTGAGGGAAAATATGCAAAGCTTTGAGAGTGTCAAGAACAAGCCATTTAGTGCTTATTTAAAAAAATATATCAGTCAGAAGCTTGTCCAATTTAAGTAAAGAGAGATCTGCAGCCATTTCCAGACTCACACTATAGTCTGTTGTGGGATCAATGACTCTAGAAAGACACATAATCAATAAAGATTAGAAAATGGTTTAAGTACCCCAGCCCTGGAAATCAAACTTCTCTGAATTCGCTTGTTTGGCTGTCGCTACATGTTGTCATAAAGCAGGGGTGGCCAACCCTGTTTCTGGAGAGCCACCTTCCTGTAGATTTCAGTTGCTACCCATATCAAACACACCTGAACCAATTAATTAATACCTGAACACCATGTAATAATTACAGGCAGGTGTGTTTAATATGGGTTGCAACTAAAATCTGCAGGAAGGTGGCTCTCCAAGAACAGGGTTGGCCACCCCTGTCCTAAAGTTTTACACATTGCTCACAGCATACCATGGGCAGGACACATTGCACTTCAGAACACACATGCACACATAAGCCCATGATTTGTTTGGCCTTCCATGTACCCTGATGTACAGACATACTGCACAACATACCCCACACGTAAAAAAGCGAAGCTTTGCTGTCTCTGTTATTACTGTCATTTTCCAGTGCATCTTGTGTATATTGTGAGACCTTTAAAAAAGAGCAAAGCCCAGTATCGACCAAAGTCCAACCCAGGATCTCCTGCAAAAAAAGCTGCGAGGCCAATGAAGGATGAGACAACAATGCAATCAAAGGCAAACCTATTACACTTAAAAGAGACCCAGCATGCTGAGCTGCAACCACATCTAGATTTATTCCTTGAATTGCTCATTAGAGGGCATGGTGGACGAACCAGATATAACACCGCATTCACCTCCTGGCTCTGACAACTTCTTAACACTAGCCATAAAGAATACCTGAAAGGATGATGGTACCATGGCGACAGAGATCGAAGTGATGATGGAGTTGGGAGTCACTGAGTGTAGTAGCCCAATTTGCATTGCATATGCATCAACATCTTAAAAATAATTGACCAGTAAAGATTTGACACATTTCTTATGCCTCTTATTGAAAAGCTATTGGAGAAGCCCAAGTATGTGAACTTATGTAAAGAAAATTGGAAAGTTCCCTTGGAGAAGAGCTCAAAATTGTTTCTGTTTGTCTCGTTGTTCATGCCCCACCCTCAGCCTCCAATGCAAGAGGTTCTAACTTCTAACTTAGTAATGTTTTGGTGCTACTCAAACCACTTGTCTTGGTTCAGAGCCGAACAAAAAAAAAAACTGTACTGGAACTGCCTTGGTAAAAAATAGGATATACTGTCAAGCACAACTCTTCAAATTTTAAATGGTGGGGTCTGGCACCACCAAAACTTCACACTGGTGGGGCTAAAAGAGGTTTCCAACTGATATGATTGGTACAGTCTGCAAGAGCATGTAAGGTGGGATGACTGCCATCCATTAAGACAAAAATGGGTATTGCCATACATAAGGATTTGGAGAAGTTTCTGACATTCCCAGATAGCAAAGGCCTGCTGTCAATCATGATGGATTGCAAAAGCCATAGAGAGGGGACAGGGTTTATTGTTCGTAGGTTTAAAAGGAGCAATTGATTGGACATTTAGAAAGGAGAGAGTACAAGGCCAGCCACCAAGGGGCATCCAGTTCATCTGCAAAACTGAGTGAGTCCTTATCGCCAGGCACTGTGGTCAATAGCCGCGTTTCCACTATCGCGCCTAAAGCGAGCGAGCCAGGGCGAGCCAAGGCCAGTGGGCTTTCCACTGTCACTTCCAGGGCCTAATCGGGCCAAAGCGGTGCTTTCTTGGGGCCAGTGGCCGGCCTTTTTCGGCCCGCCGAATACCTTGGGCCAAGGAGGGCCAGCTGGGGCTTCGGGGCGGAGTGAAAGGAGAGGCGGGCAGTTTTCTGATCGCACATGAGTACATGCGCCAAACAAATAAAGAAATAAGGGAAAGAAAACATCTAGCCTTATAGTCTGGGGTCTTTTTGCGTATGATCACCCTTATGTTTGCCTTTTAAATGTAAGGCTTAATTTATAGTGACGTTCTTTGCTGCGTCCTCCTTTATGTTTCAATAACGCATAATAATCTTTACACCATATTAAAGACACAGCAGACAGTAAAGGTTTTCGAGAGTTTTTGTCAAGTTTAAAATGTTTGTTTGTGCGTGTTTAGATGCCTGTATGTGTGTGTGAGACCGGGCAAGAGCGCTTCTTCACAGCTCTGTTATGCCGCGAGCTGCTTTTTTCTTTATTTATTTTGGAGATAATACACAAAATAAATACAACAGAAAGACATAAAACTAAACAAATTACGTTCCCACTTTCGTAGACTTTAAACAATATAGTGTCATATCTTGATAAAATAGCCTAAGCTATATTAAAATATAATTTAAAGAATTACAAATATCGGATATATATAAAATCACATTAAATAAATTAACCTATATAAAATAAACAAAAGCTAGCTATAACAATGTAGGTAGCCTATATACAATACATAAATCAAACCGTTTTAAAGCCACATATAGCCTAACTTTCATTTTACAAAGACCTGTCTGAAAAAAAAGATTTTCGATATTTTCTAAAAACAATTAACACCGGAGAAGGTTTGAAATATAAAGTAAATATTTATATAAGTAAATATTTATAAAGTATTTGGATACGATGATATTAATCAAATCGCGCAAACAGAGCATTATTTGGGTGAGTGAAAGCAGAATCTAGCCTACCTTTTTTTCTGTCACTCAGTCCTGCGCAGCGCTCGCTGCTTTAAACGCATTGGGGGAAAGTCCAAACACAAAATGTGTTCTATATCCTCAAACAACTGTTTATATTTTTATATGACGTGGTAAAATTTATAAATGAAACTTTAAATGAAGAGCTTTAGTGAATAGCTGCCGAGCGCAACAAATATATTTTTTTTTAGGGTACTCGCACTTGTGCTGGAAACTTAACACGACTTCTATCAAAATGAGGATGTTATAAAATACATGCCATATCGAGTTATAAAGGAGAATTTCTGTGGCTTTATATTATGGATGTGTGCGCTCTCTGTGATGGGTCCCTGCGTTAGTGGTGAGAGCACACGATGCACAATGCCAACAGTCGGTCGGCGAGTAAACAAATGTAAGTTAATGAATGGAAATACACAGGTCTGTGCGTATAGACATTTTATGTACTGCTGTACAGTAACGTGTCGTTTGTTTGTTTCGGTTGTCTTCATTTTAATGGTTTCGTTTCGTGATGATTCTATGCTCTGCTTTATCTGCCTCATTCCTGCTGAAGTGGGTGGGTTGTGTGACGTTTGATTCGGGGACGTTCTGTGGGCGGTGTTTGCGTGACGCGCTGTGAGCTACTAGCCCAACAGTGGAAACGTGACATGATTTCAGCCTCATTTCTCAACCCTCCGGTCTATTGGCCATGCCCGGCCCAATTAAAGCCCTGGCTCGCACTGGCCCGATAGTGGAAATGCGGCTATTGTGAAGTCTTACGGGTAAGGGTCTGGGAGAGGTGCTGGGTGTATATGAGGTGACTGAAACAAGATGAAAGACACTAGTGTAGAGACTTATAAAGGAGACTGCAAGAATATAACAAGTAAAAGAACAGTGCAAGTTGATGAAAGACCAACCCTAGAGTATTTACCATCCTGATTTGTCCATTTTTGTCAAAATGATGTTATTTTCTGTTCCCTCCACTATAAGCAGTGCTCAGATGTGAATTACTTTCACACCAACCAAACAACGCTGAAATCTGCAATAGCAGAAAACTTGAGTGTTAAAGCATTCCTGATAGTGAAAAATGTGACAAAATGGATTCTTAACAGATCAGAGCACCATAATTAAATCCATAATGCTCCATATTGCTACAATAATGTGTTGAGAGAATAGTAGATCTATGTGTCAGTAACTGAAAGAGACTTTCTTGTTCCCTTCAGTCTCATGGTCTTTCAGAAGTTCAAAGGCAGCCAAAAAACTTCATATTAGCATTGTCATAAAGATATGTATGCTTAATAGAAATTGGTGTGTTACTGTCTTACCTTACACTCCCCATTAACACAAACGTCCAGAGAGTCATCTCTGCAGGGTGTGCCGTCCACTACAGCTGGAGCGCGCTCAGTGTAGAAGTTATAGCCCTCGGCCAGGCAGTTCAGTGAGCATGACTTCACTCCACCTGCAGCCAAAATGTGCAAAACATCACACCTCAAGCATCAAGAGCCATTCAGTCAGAAACATGTTAAATACTCACACAAACAGCTGGGAGAAACATATTTACAAAGATAAGCATTGTAAAACAAAAATCATAAATTCAAGAGATTAATTATGCTAAAGATAAAGAAACATCAGCTCATGCTGAAATCATTTACATAATTTACATTTTAGCAGTTAAATAAAACAGTAAAACAGCAATATTGTGAAATATTACAACATTAAAAATACTGCTGAATATTTGGGGGAAAGTATTATACAATTTTAGAGGATTCAAAATAAAAAATGTTGATATAAATGTCTTTACAGTCACTTTACCGTCTCTTTATCCCAGACATTTGAATGCTAGTATATATAATAGTTAAGACAGGTAGTGTATCCGTATGAGAACCACTGCATGTCATTAATTCTACAAAGCCTGACATGTAAGACATAAAACATTTTATGTAAGACATTAAAAACAGTCTGTCATCAAATACATAGGACAGAATGTTAATATGCTTGTCACACCAATGGTAAGGCTAACACCATTGTGATCATGTTGCTTGTACAGAATTGACTCCTCATGTTTTATGCTTTGTTAACTTTACAACATTACACAACGGCAAAACAAACTTGAAAACAAACTGTTGGCAAATTCACTCCACAGTTTAATGCTCTTCCAACAATGGGGACACGTGAATGGCGTATTTCATGCAGCCAAATGGAGCTTTATAACTATACTAACTCTGTAGGACAGCTGCCAGCTCTCTGTAGAGCTCCATGTGGTATTTTAATGAGCTTGTGGGGTTTATGTAAGTTAGTTTATTCTTCCCTTGCTGTTAAATCTTTGAATAGCAGAGAATAGAGTCTGGGGCACATTTTAGATAGTTTGCTTATAGGTTAAGCCTAAAATGCACATTCTGTACACATATTTGTTTTATTAACCAGTCTTGTCTTGTCTATGTCACAAAGCTTCGTCATCTCCGGTTAGATTCTTGAACGTGAGTTCACTATAGACCATTTTGAGGGATGTAAACAAAAACAATGGGCCCAACATATTTTCTGCTTTACATTTTTAATTTCCACAGCTTCCGAGAACATTAACACAATGTTTTTAACACCCTTTTAACATTAAGTTATGATTAAATTGCCTCTTGTAACAGTTATGAAATAGTTTGATAACAAGCAGGAAATGTTCTTGGATCAATGACATGACCACAATAAAATGGTCTATATTTTAATGTCCTCAAAAAGTCTTGAGATCTCAATGCTCGAATGACCTCCAAAGTCACCAGATGCCAATCCAACAGAGCACCCTTTGGATTTGCTGGAATGTGAGACTGGCATCATGGATATGAAGCAAACAAATTTGAAGCAACTGTATGTTGTGATTATGTTTATATAGACCAAAATATCAGAGGAATGTTTCAAAAACCTTATTGAATCTACGACTCTGAGGCAGAGGTGTCCATACAGTGTCCTAGTTTAGCTCCAACTTCCTTCAACACACCTCCCTGGAAGTTTCTATTTTTGGAAGTTTCTATCTTTTTTTGTAAAGCAAAAGTATATACTTTTGAGTGTGTAACAGAAGAGTATGCAAGCTTTTGGACACACTTGGACACACTGGACATTTATGTCCAAACATATCTTGAAATAAGTTCACATTGTTGTTGCAGGTGAAATATAACACAGAAAATGATGTTTAAATGTTCCAGCTGGCCCAATATTGATTAACAGTCATTCAAAGAACTTTACTGAAGCCTCTCTACTTGACAGTTGGTCTCGCGTGTCCGCCATGTTTGTAGTTTATTTACACTTTTCACCCATGTATGTAGTTCTGATCAATTTCACGTCCAGCGGGCAATGTGCTGTGGGCAATATTAGCGGTAAGAGTATGGTTGCTTCAACACTTCGAATTTATACCGGAATTAGTAAATCATCCGGATGCCTTTGGCAAACTCTTTTCAACATACTATTGTTTGGGACATACTAATTCTATTTTCAAATATTATTTAATATAGATAGTTTGTGAATTGGGAGGCAGCAATAGAAAGAGCTTGCTTAGTTGGTTCAGGTGTATTAAATTGGGGTTGAAACTAAAATATGAAGAACAAAGGACTGAGTTTGGACACCCCTGCTCTAAAGGGATCCAACCAACCCAGTACTGGAAAGGTGTGTTTAATCATTGAGTAATACATTAGCTTAAGTACTAATTCTCACTATTAATTAGTGGTTTATAATTACCAGCCTATTAAGATATTGGCTTTTTTGTACTTACAAAGTACATATTTTGCATTATTCTACATCACTAATCCTACCTAAACCAAACTACTACCTTAATAACTATTAATAAGCAGCAAAATAGTAGATTTAGCTAAAAGTCACAGTTAACGATTTGTTAATAGAGAATTGTACCTTAAAACAAAGTGTGACCAATAAGTGTGCAAAAGAGAACAAAGAGTTAATCAACTTCTAATCTCATACATACTGGTACCAGTGGGATTTCATCCCTGATCAGGGCCCTTTTTTATGTCGAAAGGCTGGAGGGTTTGAACCCATTCCCCTCTCCTGTACCTGGCAGCAATGGTGTTAAAACTCTGAGTAATGTCACTTTGGCTCTTGCTAGCCTTATCAGTAGGCTCAAATCTACCACAGCCTTCATGTTAAATAATAACTCTTCCACTACACGTGTTTTATAAACCTAAAGAGGGCAGTTTTTGAGCTGCTGGCCAAGTTTTCTGTTAGTGTTGGACTAACTTGATAAGGTCCTGGGTGCCTGTGAAAACATACACCGAAGTAGGCTTACGATGGAAACTGCATATCCCATGAGGTTTTACTCTGGCAGGGCTCAGGTATATTTTTTAAGTGGCTAGAAGAGAGATTCATTGGAGTCATATGGGTTTCAGAAGGTTTTGGCAAGAGAGTTTAAAGCTAGAGCACAATGCACTAAATAATATATAAAGTAACTGCCAAACGGTTTTACGTTTACACCATACAAGTTTTATAAAATTGTCTCTTTACCAATATTGCATGTCAGATTTGTGAAATGTTTGTTTTCTGACAATAAAAGAGTGGTTAAAATTGCCAAGTATCTATGTGAGAAAAAAATCTGTCTTTCAAAATTAAAAGAGATTTGATTTAATATTAATAACAACATATTGTGAAAAATTGCTTTCATAATTTATTCATAATGCAGCCTTGCCCTAACTTAGACAAACTACTGTATTTTAGTATTAAAAACTAGTAAAAGAGTAAAAAATGAATGCATGAAAAAGAATAAAATATTTATAGTGAAGAATGACAACACAAACCAAGTTAAGCAATAAAGCAACAGACAATTCAACGGATCAAATTCAATAGCACAACACACTTCCAGGCTCAATAGAAATACTTGCCTTGGGCTACATTTTTGCAAAATGTAAAATACACTGCTCTGATTTCATTGCAAATGTAAAAATCTATTGGGGTGATGTATACATTTTTGCAAATCTGAAATTTGTTACTTAGGCTGCATTTTGTTCTATGGATCATTTACATGTACAATGATGATGAGAAGGCAGGCTTATCATACAGATCACCTTACGATTGACTAACCTGAACCCTTCTCTAAACCCAACCAACCAAGCAACCAACAGTGTATTGGACAGAAAAAAATGCACCACGGCTGAATAGTTTTACCAAACTTGATCTGTTTGTACCTGTTTTGTGGAAGCGTGTTTCACTCAATTCAAACCAGAGTGCTCTGCATTAAAAGTACAACACCATACAAGGTGAGCTTCTGAGGAAACTGACCAGTGACCATGGCAGGAGGACATATGGTGACAAACTTGTGAGATAAATGTATCTGATTACAAATCAAAGAAATCATAGAGATCGTTTTGTGCTATTGATTCTGTTGTGCAAAGAACTGCACAAAAATAATCCATCATTTGTTGGCAATGCGTCCCTGTAAATAACATTAGTGTAACAATAAGTGTTGACATCATACTGCCTCAAAGCATTCATTTTACCAAGAAACTGCAGTCAAATGTATGCTGAATATTGTTTTTGCAGTTTCACATTAATGTAAGCTGAATGACGTATTTCCAATAAGCCTGTGTTGCAATGATTATTGCACACTACTATACAATCTATAGTAAGCTATACATAAATTTCAAACAAACACAGTGAAGTTAAAAGACACACACAAAGGAAACATGAACAGAGAAAGAGAATGGAGGTCTAAGGTCTATAAGCGAACTGACCCTACAGCAGGGTAAAACAGCAGTCTGGCACTTATTTTAACAGCTGCAAGGGATTTCCACTGTAAAATCAGCTGACTTGATGAAAGCAGCGCTTGTAGCCTGCAGTGGGTTTCTCTCTGCAAGTCATTATGTTATTGGAGGGCCAGATTAAAGGCAGTTATGTCCTTGACGGCCAGCTTCGCACTCATCAAAAGCAGGAACTTAAACCTGGGATTCAGGGAGCTGGCAGTGTATCGCCTAACATATGGATGCCAGACTGTTATCGGGAGTTTCGTTCTCATTATATCTCTCTCACATCTGTTTTGGACATGAGCCAGTGCAGAGATTGGTTCTTTGGAAGCACGGTGGTCCAGTCCTAATATCTAAACCACCTTCAAAAGCCCTAAATAGTTTTAACAACAACAAGTAAGCACTTAAACATTCCCATAATCATGAAAGACTTAAGTAGGTAAAAGATCACTTTGAGAGTCGAAAAAACATATACAGAAGAAACTAAATTAATACCAGTGGCTCAACATTGAGCCACACTGAGCCAATGCTGTTTGTTTAAAACAGAAAGAGAGAATGTGTGTATAAATAACCCTTGTGCACTCTTACAGACATTTTGTTCTTTATAATTGTATTATTTTGTGGCAATTTTATGCATATTTGGCAGAATTAAATAAAATAAAAAATAAAGTAACAGTGGGATTATATTAACATACTATACTTTAAAGCAGGGGTCTCAAACTCAAATTGACAAGGGGCTATTTCAGTGACAGACAATTCATAGGAGGGCCGTTTTAACATTCAAGCATAAATAAAAAGTGGAAAGCTGATGTATTTAATGCACCTTAGGATAACAGACATGATATTTATATTTCAAACATTCATATTTCTCAGTCCTTCTTCCACAGACTATATGCAGTCAAAACTCTAGCTTTATGTTTCTTGTTGTACATATTGAAGGGGTAGTTTAAATTGCTATAAAAATTACTACAAATAATAGGCATAATATATATTAATCTGCCACAACCAATTGTATTGTGCAATAGCGTAAAAACAGCCGAAAACAATTTGGGTAACTTAAGTGACTTTACAGGCAATTGTTCTTCTCAATATCTTTATTTTTTAGTAAAACTACCACAAAGACGGGAAAATATGCACATAGTCACATTTACTTTATCAAGTTCAATTTAACCAGCAGTACAATTTTACTAATGTACGTGGTTTTTATGCAAACCTTAATAAGCATATGAGGAAAATCTACATTTAATATGCCCACATATTACAAGTCAGAAATTTTTGTATGAAGTGTGCTTGATTTTAAAATAAGTGAAGGTTACACTGTCTACTATCTATGCTTATTTATTGATCATCAACATGCAAACTCCAAACGCCAACTGACCCAGCTGAGGCTCGAACCAGCGACCTTCTTGCAGTGAGGCTACCAACATTGACTAATTACTTGGACTATATATGCACCACAGTTTCACTCATACTTTGCTGAGTATTGATTAGTTGTTGCATTTATTCAAAGTGGTTTCCTTCTTTTTCCCATGCTTTGACCTTTGGACTGTTTATCGTGTTTTTAAATCTTTGCTGTCTGCCCTGAACTTTTGCCTGTTTTTGGATTGGGCTCTTAGATTGTCTATCACACTGTATATGCTGGTTTTCGACCCCTGCCAGCCTGACCATTCTAAAATAAAGCTGTGTTTGGAACTAACCCCTGTCTGCACGTCTACCATTCGCAACAACTAACATCTATGATCTAGTAGTATACTTGTATTCGTACTACTAGAATATGGATTTGGACTGCATTAGCCCACTTTTAGTACATACAGTAAAAAAATATTTTTAAGTGTACAATATGTGTAATAGTAGTAAAATGTTAGAGCACAAATAGTCCACAATTCAGTTTTTCATTTGTACTGCAAGTATTTAAAAGTTTTATATATACATGTATGTATAGTGTATATACTGTATTCATAGTTAACCCGTAGTTTTAGAATACATACTTTGTGCAAATTTCAAAAAGATGGTGTCTGTGTGTGTGATGAACTTTCTTTTTCACATTTATTGTCTAATACCAACATGACCACTGATTTATCTTGCATACTTCATTCATTTGGAACTTTCTTTTAAGGCAGATCCATAGCAGTTTAGAGTAACAACAGCCAACTTAAGTGGCACAAATCATCTGTATGTATCAGGACAGATGTTTAATAGGGCACTCACCTCCCCTGTATGGCTTCCAGGTGTAGAATTTTCCCCGGAAAGGAACGCTGTCAAAGTCTGAGCACTGAATCTCCCGAAAATCCTGAGACCCGACTGGACACTCCTACACACACACACACACACACACACCCACTATTCAATCCATCAGTCTGAGAATAATATTGTAGACCATAGTAACTATGAACAGTTTCAATTTACTCAAATATACCTAGATTAACATTTTGCCTAATGCACGCAACAAACCACCAATGGGTCAGTCATGTCTAATTTAGATTATACACAAGCAGAATCCATCCACAAAAGCCATTCTCCATATACACACAAATGTGAGTCATTAAGTGGCAAGTGGGCTTCGAACTCACATCAATGTTGCAGGATCTGAAGCGCTTCCTCTCTCCAAGACAATATTTCCCTCCAACCGTTGGCCTGCATCCACACAAGGACAGGCATCAGACACATCTGAGTGTAATTTCAATGTAACTCCCAATTACACAATCATTCTGCTCAAGTTCATTTCAGCCAGACATCTTCTGTCTTTCTGTCAATCTGTTAGTTTTTCCCGTTTTCCCTGGCACGCTGTCAGACTAGGTTCACAGAGTACAATGGGCTGAGAGTAAGAACAGTATGAACCATCAAATCATAGCTATATTTACACAGTACTAATATTCAAAAGAATGCCTGAAAGACTGTCATTCAAAAAATTATTTTGATAGAAGTGCCTTATGCTTATTTAATGCAATAAAATACACATTTTGTGAATTACAATACTACTGGCCACAAACTTACATAAATGATCTACTACGCTGCACAGAACACTATAGTGCATCCGGAAAGTATTCATAGCGCTTCACTTTTTCCGCATTGTTTTATGTTACAGCCTTATTCCAAAATTAATTAAATTTATTTATTTCCTCAAAATTCTACACACAATATCCCGTAATAACAATTTAAAAAAAGATTTTTTTAAACTGTTGCAAATTTACTAAAAATAAAAAAGCTGAAAAATCACATGTACATAAGTATTCACAGCCTTTGCTGTGAAGCTCTAAATGGAGCTCAGGTACATTCTGTTTCCACTGATCATTCTTAAGATGTTTCTGCAGCTTAATTGGAGTTTATCTGTGGTAAATTCAGCTGATTGGACATGATTTGAAAAGGCATACACCTGTCTAGTTAAGGCCCAAGGTTGACTGTGCATGTCAAAGCACAAAACAAGCATGAAGACAAAGAAATTGTCTGTAGACCTCTGAGACAGGATTGTCTCGAGGCACAAGGCTGGGGAAGGTTACAGAAAAATTTCTGCTGCTCTGAAAGTTCCAATGAGCATAGTGGCCACCATCATCCATAAGTGGAAGGTGTTTGGAACCACCAGAACTCTTCCTAGAGCTGGCCAGCCTTAGTTAAGGAGGTGATCAATAACCTGATAGTCACTCTGTCTGAGCTCCAGCGTTCTTCTGTGGAGAGAAGAGAGCCTTACAGAAGGACAATCATCAGTGCAGCAATCCACCAATCAGGCCTGTGTGGTAGAGTGGCCAGACGGAAGCCATTCCCCACCTGGAATTTGCCAAAAGGCATCTGAAGGACTCTCAGACCATAAGAAACTAAATTCTCTGCTCTGATGACACTAAAATTGAACTTTTTTTAGTGAATGCCAGACAATAGTTTGGAGAATATCAGGCACCGCTCATCACCAGGCTAATACCATCCCTACAGTGTAACATGGTGGTGGCAGCATCATGCTGTGGGGATGTTTTTCAGCAGCAGGAACTGGAAGACTAGTCAGGAAAGGGAAAGATAAATGCAGCAATGTACAGAGATATCCTGAATGAAAACCTGCTTCAGATTGCTCTTGATCTCAGACTGGAGCGACGGTTCATCTTCCAACAGGACAATGACCAAATGCACATCGCCAAAATGTCAATGGAGTGGCTTCACAACAACTCGGTGAATGTCCTTGAGTGGCACAGCCAGAGTCCAGACCTAAATCCTATTGAACATCTCTGGAGAGATCTGAAAATGGCTGTACACCGTCGATTCCCATCCAGCCTGATAGAGCTTGAGAGGTATTGCAAAGAGGAATGAGCAAAAGTTCCCAAAGACAGGTGTGCTTGTGACATCATATTCAAAAACACTTGAGGCTATAATTGCTGCCAAAGGTGCATTAACATAATATTGATCAAAGGCTGTGAATACTTATGTACATGTGATTTTTCAGGTTTTTTATTTTTTATAAATTTTCTACAATTTCAAATAATCTTTTTTTCACATTGTCATTATGGTATGTTGTGTGTAGAATTTTAAAGAACTAAATGAATTTAAATAATAAATAAATAAAAGCTGTAACATAAAAAAATGTGGAAAAGTGAAGCGCTATGACTACTTTCCGCATGCACTGTATATACCACAATGCAATATGCATATATGGATCTCCTGAGTAGACATCTATCTATTGTAATAAAAGAACAGAAGGTAATACTGGTCTACAAAAAAAAATAGTGTAATTACATAGTTCTCTGGTCTTGCCATTAATGAAATTAATGAAAAAATTGGACTAATTTAATGTAGCCTTTTATTAACTATATTGTATTTATTAGCACACCACTATTTAAAACATTGTTAAAAAGTGTACAGTATTACCCTTTCAAAAAAGTATCAAACAATCACATGACCATGACTTACCTGGGGCTGTCACAATGACGAATGGAGGATGAGACTCCGCCCCCACATGTGCGACTACACTCCTCCCATGGAGACCAGTGGCCCCACCCACCATCCACACCCTCGGGCCGTGTTCCATACGGCACACACAATCTCTTGTAGCACCACTAATGAGAAAAAAAGTGTATATATACATAAGATTTAATATGTGGCAATCGAATAAATTGATAAACAGCCATATAGCTATAGAAAAAAGATAAGCTCACATGTTTCTGTGGAAACATTATTGTTTTATTATTATTTTTGTTACTTATTAAGTCTGATAATATTTCAAATAAAGACAAATTTTAGGTTCCAAATGACAACTTTTTTTTTTGGTAAGAACTGTCAGTAGTTTTAAGATCAAAACAAAAATGACATAACTACTGTATAAAATGTAGATCGAAAGAAATTAAGAGTTTCCAGGTGGTCGCTTTTTTTCCCCATCCTTATATTTTGTAAGCAAGAACATGATTGATCTACATACTCTACAACCCAAAAAGCTCTGCTTCCCAAAACTAGCATTCTTATATTCCTGGCTCAATCCCAGAATTTCCTGTGCTTACCCCTTTTTCGATAGTGCTGGTCTGGCAAATGGTGCCCTCAGCTGCTGGGATGCTACTGGTGATGCAGCGATTGCCTTTACTCATGCACCAGAGCTCACTGCACACTTCCTGAAAACACAAGCATGTTAACAAATTAAAATACAGACATTAAAGCGATAGTTCACTCCAAAAAAAAAAAAAAAAGAAAATTCTCCTCAGGGTCAGTTCAGAAAAGTCACCAGAAGTAGAAGATTTGGGTTTATGATTTAAAAATCTGAAACATTTTATATAAAACCACACTGATCCACTTTATTAAATGTGAATTTATTCCCTGGTGGCATACAGGTTAGTTATATGATGCGTTTATGTCATTTTGGAAGCTTCAAAAAAGGGCCACTAACCTGATTTAAATTTAAAGCTGATTTAAATTTAATTCAAGCTTCAGCTCTGAAATCTGAAAGCGGTGGCAACAATTCTGTGACAGCTCTTAAAAATTCCTTATATATATATATATGTTACTTGCTTCATTAAGTGACTGTTACTGTTCCTTTTGTATGTACTCTGAACTGTTTATCAAGTTTCCTTTACATGTGCACACATATACATGCACAAACACACGCACCTGCCAGTATTTGACTGTATTGTTGTTGTTTTTGGTATTTTTGTTATTGTTTCATAGCTTTGTATTTGTATCATCTTAAATTGTGTACCTTTTTGTATATTCTAATAATAATGAAAAAAAATCATGTCATGGGGAGTCATAATGGACGTCGTGACACAAGATTCAATCAATACCATGTCTGCGATGTCTCATAACACAGAATCGCAGAAAGTCTTGCATGTCTCTAAATCAGATGTGACAAGACTATAGACAAGAACAGCAGTGGCATGGGGGTAAGAGAAGGGAGGAGTCAGTTAATGTTGAGGAGGTGGAAGTAAGCAGACCGGGTGATGTTGTTGATATGAAAATCATAAGATGAGGTGCTATCAAGGATGACACCTAGACTCTTGACCTGTTTAGAGGGATAAATGGAACGTCAATAGAAAGAGAAAAGCTGTCAGTTTTGGAGGGTGTTGGTTTGATACCAACAAGGAAAACCTCAGTTTTAGCACTATGTAATTTGAAAAAGTTAAGAATATTTAATATTTTATATATATTTTATATTGCAGCCTCTTACGATTAAATAATCGCAATGTTTCAAATTGCGATTGGGTCTCGATTTCAATTAATTGCACAGCCCTAGGAGTCATTTACATTTTTGGGTGAATTATTACTTTAAATTCATTCATTCATTTTTGGCTTAGTCCCTTTATTAATCCGGGGTCGCCACAGCGGAATGAAGCACCAACTTATCCAGCATATGTTTTACGCAGCGGATGCCCTTTCAACTGCAACCCATCTCTGTGAAACAGACAATTGTAAATTGTAAACTTGGAACTCTAAAACATTAACAAGACACAAAATGTTCAACTTAAAATTAAATTAAAACAGAATTCTAAAAACGTGAAGTTTTCAGTGTTAACAATTCTGAACTAATAAATTCTGAATCATAATCTCAGAATACTAAACTAAGATTTTTAAAACAAAAAAATAAGAATTCTAAAACAATAAAAATTTAAAACATAAAATGAGAATTCTAAACTGAAAAAATTCTGGGTGCTCTGGTTTCCCCCTCAGTCCAAAAACATGCGCTAAAGGTGAATTGAATAAACGAAATTGTCTGTAGTAAGTGTGTAAATGCAAGTGTGTAAGGGTGTTTCCCAGTACTGGGTTGCAGCTGGAAGGTCCTCCGCGGTGTAAAACAAAAGCTGAATAAGTTGCCGGTTCATTTGGCTGTGGTGATCCCTGGGAAATAAATGTACTAAGCCGAAGAAAAATTAATCAATGACAGAATGACAATTCTATCTTTTACCTCTAAATTTTGGAGCAGCAGTGACCAATGCTCCACCCACTACCAACAAACAGTGCAAATAACTCAATCTAGTTGGTCTCCTTATGCTAAAAAAAATTACATTTGCTGTTTATTCAGACTACTTATTTAAATTGAGATGAAACAACACAATTGTTAAGTTTTGGAGGGACTTAATTGCTTCATGTTCAATCCACTAAAATTTGTAAAAACTAGTAAGTTAACTTAATTCCTTTATCTTGTACCAACAAAAATCGATGGTGTATATCCCAGCATTTTTTACAGTGTATGTTTTAAAACCTAAGAAAATACACTAATATATATGGACATTTTTTGGATAGATTTTTTTTAGAAGATTGTTTTCTTTCTTCAATTTAAAATTACAATGTTATGAATCATAGGCTTACAACACTTTTTTATTTATAATGGGAAAAAGAATGGGAAAACAACTTCCAGAATCAGCATTGATAAAAAAAAAAAAAATCAATGATAGATTTTATTATGATAGTGAATGTTTACTGCACTACAAAGCCCCCCTTTTGTTTCCGCTACATCTCATGACGTAGATCAGATCTAAACAACACGCTACACTTTAAGACCTAGCTAATAACTTCCTGCTTTATTAGATTACACAGTTACAGTGTGTGTTTTCCTCCTCCAGATGTTCAGCTTCCTGCACTGGCATCCCATAAAGCATTCAATACAGAAAGCTGAAGTCTACTAGAGCAGATATAGCACACTTTACAGACTGAGCTCCATTCTCAGTCTCTGGAGGTGTAAAGGTCAACCACGGCTGGCAGAGAATGGAGCCGCAAACCAAACAGAAGCTAGTCTCTGACCAATTTGGTTTTGGACAAAAGTGGCAAAACGCCAGCGGTCTGAAGTCTTAGGGGGAGCAAAAAAAGATGGAATGTTACAGTCGGCGAAAGGTACAGCTACCATCTGGTGCAGATTTACAGAGAGAGAGAGAGAGAGTGAGTGTTAAATGATTTACTGTAGAGATATAAAGGCAGCCTGGACAGGACTTAACCAACAATTCATATAGAAAAAGACGCCACTTGCGCATAGATGTCTCATAATGCTTACAAAAGATGATTTTCATCATAGGTGCCCTTTAAAACACTGATGAAGACCTTGTAGGTCGAAACATTGTTTAATTAAATTGCCTTTTAAGAGCTAAAGTGACAGTGTGCCTATTCGGTTTACTTTTTCTATTATGTTTGGCTTGATCTGGCTTCAGGATATCCTCTGATATGCTCACACTGATGTCTTTCTATATATTTAAAACACTGAAAAACTAAACATTAGAAAGGTAGTATAAAATTATTTTCTAAATCATTCTAATCTGCAACATTAATCAACAATGATAATTTTCTTTCTTGGAAAAAAGAGCTGTTGTTACACGTAGTGATGCAAGTACCCCGTATTTACACTGACGAGACTTCACTCCGTACTGGAAGCGGCACTGCTCGTCTGCATCATAAGCTTGGCCTGGGGCTGTGGTGGGGTACACAAACTCCTGCTTGGGGGGCACATTATTGAGGCAGGAACCCATGCCAGAGCTAAGAAATAATCATAAAAAAGAGAATAGCTGTGTTAAAAAGTATGGATGTTTAATTCGAATTTTAACAGCCTATTTGTTAACTCAGTATAGCTCATTAAATATTTATTTTAATCGTTACTCTTATTATCGGTTATAATTTATATATTATTACAATCTAACTGAAATTCAGTATTTCAGCAGTCAATATTTGACTTGGTGGAAAACAGATCTCAGACTCATGCAGCAGACACACTCACTCGAGGAAGTTGGTGATGTAATCGCGGCTGCAGGCGGACCAGACGAACGGGTTGGTCTTCATGGTAATGTGGGCAGCCATGAGTTTGGCGGTCTCCTGACTGCGCACCCCGCATGCATTGCCAACACCATCATGATTCATCCCAAACCTGGAACACAGAGAGAGATGAATGATTTTATGGAATTATAAAAATGGAATCCCACAGCTCTGCTTACAGAATATGAGCACACACACACACACACAAACCCATCAGCACCTCAGGCAAACTTATGCAACCCTACACACACGGTTAAACATATGCCCTGTAGTCTAGACAGCCCCAGTTTGCATATGTCCATCAGTTCAAAGGTACCTGGACGAACCATTAAAACCAGAGCACTAATGACTTCACCACCTATAAAAACAGCTCAGAGGCCTGTGAGAATCGCCAAGTACTGGGTGACCCAGCATAAACAGAGCACAGATCTGGTCAACGATAACCAAAAAACACTTTTCAGCTACTGTAAAAGAAATAGTAGTGATTTTAATGGTTAAAAAACAGGAAAATCTGTAACCTGGTTAATCTGGTTAAGTTTAATCAATAAATACATTAAATAACCCTAAATTCAGGGTTTCTGCAGGTTTCACCAAGTTTAATTTAAGACTTTTTAAGATATTAAGACAATTCATTCATTTTCTTGTCGGCTTAGTCCCTTTATTAATCTGGGGTCGCCACAGCGGAATGAACCGCCAAGTTATCCAGTACATTTTTACGCAGCGGATGCCCTTCCAGCCACAATCTCTTGGAAACCTCCACACACACATTCACACAAACACTCATACATTACGGACAGTTTAGCTTACTCAATTCACCTGTACCGCATGTTTTTGGACTGTGGGGGAAACCAAAGCCACTGGAGGAAACCACGAACGCAGGGAGAACATCCAAACTCCACACAGAAACGCCAACTGAGCCGAGAATCGAACCAGCGACCTTCTTTCTGTGAGACGATGGCACAACCTACTGCGCCACTGCGTCGCCACATTAAGACCATAATGAATTAAATTTTATACACGGTTAAACACAAGGAGGTTTTTCAAATAGCTCAAAAGGCACATGTTTTTATTCGCCCCATCAAAAAAAAAATCTAATTTAATACATTTAATAATAAAATAATAATCTATTGATAAAAAAAATTATATTTTAGATATGTATCAGCAAAATTATTTTAAATACTGTGTCGAAACTCTCTGGTTTCTCAAATTTTTATTAACACAAACTTTCTTTTAAGTAAAAAAATGACAAATGTTTTAAAAACTATAATAGGCTAAATGTATGCACAACAGTCTGTCCAGGACAGTATCCTCAGCAGTAAAATTAAACTATTATAGTAAATAGAGTTATAATAAAAGGGCAACGCAATGGCGCAGTAGGTAGAACTGTCGCCTCAAAGCAAGAAGGTCACTGGTGTAAGCCTCGGCTGGATCGGTTAGTGTTTCTGTGTGGAGTTAGCATGTTCTCCTTGCGTTCGCGTGGGTTTCCTAAAGACATGCTGTACAGGTGAATTGAATAAGCTAAATTGTCCGTAGTGTATGGGTGTGAATAAATGTGTGTGGATGTTTCCAGGAGATGGGTTGCAGCTGGAAGGGCATCCGCTGCGTAAAACATATGCTGGATAAGTCGGTGGTTCATTCTGCTGAGCCGACCCCAGATTAATAAAGGTCAAAAAAGAAAATAAATAAATAAATAAGTTATAAGCAAAAAGTTTTATTGAGATGGATTGTTGGTGATTGTATGTGTGGTAATGGCCAGATTGGGTCTCTACAGACGAACAAGGAAATGTTAAGACCTGTTTAAAAAAGATTTAAGACCTACACAACAATATTTCATTAAATTCAAGAATGTTAAGGCCTAAAATTCTGTTTTTGAATATTTAAGACATTCTAAGACTTTAAGACCTTGCATTACTATAGTTCTTTTTAGTTTTTTCTAATCAGTTATGTACATATTGGTATAAAGAGTTGGTGTTACATCAACTTTTGATAAGTGAAGTTTCACAAACTAATTTCGAGAGGAGCACGTGATGCGATTGAGTGCAGCTGGTCTCTCATCTACAATAATTAGTAGACAATCAGATTAATCCATACTCACTATAAGTAGCATAGCAATAATCACTCCCTTATCTTTGTTTTCCGAAGAAACCCCCAATCCACCCCTTCTCCCTCTTTCCTCCTTTACCACGGGGAGCTCTCGAGGACCACCTGATCTCGTACTCCCCTTACAAGCTCTATTGACCAGGCGGGAGCCCTGGTCTCAATTATCTCAGAGCTCAGGGTTCTCTCTCGGGACAACATGCCAAACCTGCTAATAGCATCAAGCAATATCTAAGTGTGAACTCTTGAAACAATGTTTTTACGTTACTTTATTTTCATGTGTGTTACGATGATGGTGTTTAAAATTGTTAGTGTTCTAGAATGAATTGTCAAGGAAGCGCCTTCTATATCATTGTGGAGAGGTAAGCATGATCGAATACCCAATAAAGGGGGAGAGCATGCTCAGAGCCCGGCGGCTAATCAGCAGGCCAATCCGAAATAATAAGCAACACCTGTTTATTCTAGTGATTGGACCGGAGAGACACCCGTCTTAAGGAGAACGGGAGGAACAGTCGGGAGAGGGAGAGAGCTGAGCGACGGCCACACAGTGGGAGCTGGCCTTTACAGTGATCACATTATTAAAATAAAGAAATCTGTTATTTACCTCAACGCCGACCCTGTCTTCTTCTTCCCACGCAAAGAACCTTTGTTACAGTGGTGCCGAAATCCGGGGAAGAAGAAGAGACCTCGCCGCTAAGATGACCACTCCGTCAACCAGTCCGTTTGCAGAAGTGATCCAGGCGCTCGCGGTCCTCCACCGTGAACAACACCAAGAGATCCTGGACATACGAGCCGAGCAGGAGGAGCGCTTTAAGGTCCTTGTGGAGGCCCAGCGCGAGGACCGCGAGCTCGTCCGGAGCATGCTGAAGCAGGGGATCCAGCCCGGAGCAACATCAGCCACCCACCCTCCCATCACACTACACAAAATGGGGCCACAAGATGACCCGGAAGTCTTCTTAGACCTGTTTGAGAAGATGGCAGGAGCGTGTGGGTGGCCCCGGGCCGATTGGCCGGTGAGAGTCATCCCGCTGCTGTCGGGCGAAGCCCAGACCGCCGCACAGCAGCTACCGGCCGAGGATCTCCTGAATTATGCGCACCTGAAACGAGCCATACTTCAGCGGGCCGGCCGCAATCCGGAGGAACAACGCCAGCGCTTCCGGTCGCTGAAGCTGGAGGAGAGCGGTCGGCCCTTTATATTCGCCCAGCAGCTCCGTGACGCCTGCCGCAGATGGCTGGTGCAGGATGACCGGACCATCGATCAGATCGTCGACGCTGTGGTACTGGAACAGTTCATCGCCCGCCTTCCCTCCCGAACATCGGAGTGGGTCCAGTGCCACCGACCAGACGATCTGGAAACGGCCATCCAGCTGGCGGAGGATCACCTGGTAGCGAGGTCCAGGGTCGGCGAACTAACCTCTCTCTCTCTCTCTCTCTCTCCCCCTGTCCCTCCTCTTTCTCTCTCTCCTCCTATCCCCAGGCCCAGATCGAGGGGACCGCCCATACCGACTCCCAGGAGGCGGATCCCAGGCCCGGAGCCCCAGCGCAGCACGCATCGCTGGGGCACCTATCGGGATAGAGACGGGGAGGCACGTGGCATGGGCGGGCCTACAGCGATGACGGGTCTCTCTCCGGCCCAATCAGTTGGTCCTGCTGCCCTCGGGGGTATAACGGGAAGGTCTGGGCCGGCATGTTGGCATTGCGGGGGGGCGGATCATGCACCAGAGAACTGCTCCGTGATGGAGGTGGGTGCATTGGTCCGCCTGCCCGATGTGCCAGCAGTCGCCCCCGGTCGCGACGGGCTATACCGGATACCTGTGAGTATAAAAGGGGGTACATATCAAGCTTTGGTGGATTCGGGGTGTAATCAGACCTCCATCCACCAAAGCTTGCTTCAAGACCCGGCTTTGGATATGAGCCGCACGGTAAGGGTAAGGTGTGTACACGGGGATGTAATTCACTATCCGCTAACGGCAATAGATATTCAATTTCGGGGGAAAAAGCATAGAGTGGAGGTAGCGGTTAACCCGCACCTCAAACACCCGCTAATTCTGGGAACTAATTGGCCTGGATTTAATAGATTATTGGGAGTTTTATGTGCGGGTGTTTCTTGGAAGAAGAAATCGCCAGATAGGGGACGTGTCGCTCAGCTGGGGGAATCCCAAGCAGTGACGTCACGCGCTGACTCAGGGGAAGGGCTGGGAATTTCCCGGTGTAAAGACTTTCCCCTGGAGCAGTCGCGTGATGATACACTAAAACATGCACTCGAAAGAGTGCAAGTTATTGATGGGAAAATCCTCCAGCCTGATCGACCCCTCTCCTATCCGTATTTTGCGGTTATTAATGATAGGGTGTATCGAGTGACCCAAGACACTCAGACAAAAGAAGATACAACCCAGCTATTAGTACCAAAGAGCCGCCGGGAAATGCTTTTTCAGGCGGCTCATTCTAATCCTATGGCCGGACATTTAGGTCAGGCGGCCACACTAAATCGCCTCATGACCCGATTCTTTTGGCCGGGCATTCACGGTGATGTCAGCAGATGGTGCGCTGCGTGCAGTGAATGTCAGCTGGTAAATCCGCCGGCCACCCCAAAAGCGCCGTTGCGCCCTTTACCAATTATGGAGATCCCCTTCGAGAGAATTGGTATGGATCTCATCGGGCCATTAGAGCGATCCGCACGCGGGCATCGGTTTGCATTAGTTCTGGTGGATTATGCAACCCGCTACCCGGAAGCAGTCGCGCTCCGTAATATCTCAGCAAAGAGCGTTGCGGAGGCGCTGTTTCGCCTCATCTCCCGTGTGGGAATCCCCAAGGAGATTCTCACTGATCAAGGCACCGCGTTCATGTCACGCACGATGCGCGAGCTTTACGGATTATTGGGCATTAAATCTATTCGCACCAGCGTCTATCACCCACAAACAGACGGGCTGGTGGAAAGATTTAATCGCACGCTTAAATCAATGATCCGTAAATTCGTTCACGAGGACGCGAAAAATTGGGATAAGTGGTTGGAGCCCTTATTATTCGCTGTGCGGGAGGTTCCCCAAGCCTCCACGGGGTTTTCCCCCTTCGAGCTTCTCTACGGCAGACAGCCCAGAGGGGTTTTGGATGTTGTTAGAGAGGCTTGGGAGGACGAGCCTTCTAAAAGTAAAAATGAAATTCAATATATCCTGGACCTTAGAGCAAAACTCCACACACTGGGGCGGCTCTCTACAGAGAATTTGCTTAAGGCTCAGGATGACCAACGCCGGCGATATGATAAGGGCACTAAACTCCGTAAATTTTCACAGGGAGATAAAGTACTTGTACTGCTACCCACTTCCAGCTCTAAATTACTCGCCAAGTGGCAAGGGCCGTTTGTGGTCACACGACGAGTCAGTGATCTCGATTACGAGGTGGTTCGTTCGGACAGGGCTGACTCGCGTCAGATTTATCATATTAATCTGCTTAAGCAGTGGAGGGAGCCGGAGGACGTGGCGCTGGCTACGCTTGTTACTAACGAGGATGACCTGGGGCCGGAGAGCTCCGGCCGTGAACGGCCGAGCGCTCTGGTCACCGGGGGCGATCATCTCTCAGCGAGCCAGCTCCTCGACATCCGGCACCTCCAACGTGAATACTCTGACGTGTTTTCGCCCCTGCCCGGTCGTACCAACCTGATTCAGCACCATATCGAGACCGAACCGGGCGTGGTCGTTAGGACCCGGCCGTATCGCCTGCCTGAACACAAGAAAAAAGTGATTCAGGAAGAATTGAATAATATGCTGAAAATGGGAGTAGTAGAAGAATCCCACAGCGACTGGGCCAGCCCGATTGTCTTGGTACCTAAGACGGACGGCTCGGTCCGGTTCTGTGTGGATTATCGCAAGGTGAATGCTGTGTCGAAATTCGACGCTTATCCAATGCCGCGTATTGACGAGTTGCTCGACCGGTTAGGTGCTGCTCGATATTACTCGACATTGGATTTAACGAAGGGCTATTGGCAGATCCCCTTATCTCCAATATCCCGCGAAAAAACAGCCTTCACTACGCCGTTTGGATTGCACCAATTTGTGACGCTTCCGTTCGGGCTGTTCGGGGCGCCGGCGACGTTCCAGCGCCTGATGGACAAAATACTCGGCCCTCACGCAGCATATGCCGCTGCTTATTTAGATGACATCATCATTTACAGTAATGATTGGCAGCGGCATATGCAACATCTGAGGGCGGTATTGTCAGCGCTGAGACGGGCCGGGCTCACGGCCAACCCACGGAAGTGCGCAATTGGGCGAGTGGAGGTAAGGTATCTGGGCTTCCACTTAGGTCACGGGCAGGTGCAGCCCCAAATTGATAAGACTGCAGCCATTGCAACCTGTCCGAGACCCAAGACCAAAAAGGAGGTGAGACAGTTTTTGGGACTGGCAGGATATTATAGGCGGTTTGTCCCTAATTATTCGGCCCTTGTCAGCCCATTGACTGATCTCACTAAAAAGGAGGGACCGGATACCGTCCAATGGTCGGAGCAGTGCCAACAGGCCTTCTCAAAGGTAAAATCTATACTTTGTGGGGGGCCGCTATTGCACGCTCCTGATTTTGCTCTCCCCTTTATTTTACAGACGGACGCGTCCGATCGGGGTCTGGGGGCGGTTCTCTCCCAGGAGGTGGCAGGAGTGGAGCGGCCGGTGCTGTACATTAGCCGCAAGCTAAGTAAAAGTGAGGCTAAGTACAGCACCATAGAGAAGGAATGTTTGGCGATCAGGTGGGCCGTTCTTACTCTTCGCTATTACCTCCTGGGTAGGGAATTCGTCCTCTGTTCAGATCATGCTCCTCTCCAGTGGCTCCACCGTATGAAGGATACCAACGCGCGGATCACCCGTTGGTATCTAGCATTACAGCCTTTTAAATTCAAGGTGATCCACAGACCGGGGGCGCAGATGGCTGTAGCCGACTTCCTCTCCAGGGCGGGGGGGGGGAGGGCTGCAGGCCGGACGGCTCCCCGGCCTGAGGCGGGCGGTGGGGGTATGTGGAGAGGTAAGCATGATCGAATACCCAATAAAGGGGGAGAGCATGCTCAGAGCCCGGCGGCTAATCAGCAGGCCAATCCGAAATAATAAGCAACACCTGTTTATTCTAGTGATTGGACCGGAGAGACACCCGTCTTAAGGAGAACGGGAGGAACAGTCGGGAGAGGGAGAGAGCTGAGCGACGGCCACACAGTGGGAGCTGGCCTTTACAGTGATCACATTATTAAAATAAAGAAATCTGTTATTTACCTCAACGCCGACCCTGTCTTCTTCTTCCCACGCAAAGAACCTTTGTTACAATCATAATGTACCATATTTATGGAAACGTTTGTTTGTTATGAGCTTTGGTTCATCATATGACATTCTCATTCCATATGCTTTTGGTAGGGTTTTTGTAACAAATGCAAGATGTGTAGATTCTAGTATTCATTGTGAACTCAAAACATTGCTGTATTATTACTAGAAATACTGTAAATGAAATACAAAAAGAAACCGAAAAAAAATAGAAAATGAAAGACAGTTTACTATAATTTTTTTTTTTTTTATGGTTTCTACTGTATTTTTAGCTGAAATATTCTGGAAACCACAACTGCTGTTTTATTTTTATTTTACATTTTTTACAGAGTACCAAAACAGCACAATTGCCTTTCATGGAGCTATTCTGAAGGCTTGAAGAACGACACATGTGCAGGGAGCAGGCACCGATATCAGCCAGGCGTGCCTGTAAAGTCTTATGCAAGATTAATCTGTAGAAAGTGAATGGAATAATGGGCCACCAAGTAAAACAATACTTCAACGTCTTGGAGTGCAAGAAACCACAAATGAAAAGAGCAGCACGAGCCGCCTGGAGCCATCCGAGTCTGCCGTCACTCGCTCCACTAACAAGATATAAATATCACAAGACTGAGAGAAAATATTGGTCCAGTTGCTGTTAATGAGCATTATTCATAACGGTCCTTGGCTTTCAACAGAAGGAAGAACAAGTGGAGGATGAGTAAAAGCTGACAGATTTTTTACATTTTGGGTGAACTGTCCCATTATAAAGTCAAAGTCAAATTTGTTATCAATTCTGCCACATCTACAGACATACAGAGAATTGAAATTATATATATATATGCATGTGGCATGTAGAAATTACATAAAATCAATGGTCTCAAACTCAATTCCTGGAGGGCCGCAGCTCTGCATAGGTTAACTCCAAGCAGCTCCAACTCCCACCCGCTTAATAGTCTCTAGTAGACCTTTATTAGTTGGATCAGCTGTGTTTGATTAGGGTTGGAGTAAAACTGTGCAGAGCAGTGGCCCTCCAGGAATCCAGTTTGACCTATGATATAAATAATAGAAATTTAATTTAAAATTGCAATGAACTGTTCACGAAATATACTCTTGTTTCTATGTTTACATAGTAGTGCTAGTAATAAACAAAGTATCTTTGCATTTTTTTTGTAGAAATCATTTTGTCCTCAGAACTTTTAATGCATTATCATGACCTTCTCTCCTCCACAAAATGACTTTTCTTAATTTTTGGTCACATGGAATGCCTTTTGGGAGGGGCTATCGATCCTTTAGGGCGGGACTATCAGTCCTTTTGGAGGGGCTATCAGGGCATAACACATTTTTGCTCTGCCTTTATACATGCATCAATCTTCTTTCATTTTATTTGCAACACCCATTCCTTCCCACACTGCAGTTGTTTCCCAAAAGACAAAATTAGGTATTGCTTTACAATTTTTTTTTTATTTTAGGATTGTTTCATGTGGATGTATGACACGAAAAAGGACAATCTTACAATCTTAACTTCCGTTTCATGGCGACTTTAAGCAAAAATACAAAAGATTCAACTGAATTGAAGTCTAAAACTGAATAAACATACACCCAGAAGTAAAAGACAATAAGGAAAGGAGGAGGTGGAGAACTTACGTGTGTCCAATCTCATGTGCAATGGTAAAAGCAGTGGCGAGGCCAATGTCTTCATTGATGCTGCAGCTTCTCTCTGGCTCACACATACCTCCAACAGGTGCCAGACCTGACATAAACACACGTGTGCACAAGGACATAGTGACAAAAACACAGACAAAACTACCCACCTTATTTTTAACAAGAATGTGTGGAAAATGTATTTAAATTCAAAGTACTTATTTATCACAATCAGAAAAACATTAGTCTTTTGCATTTTACTGCTCTCTGAATGATAGTTTGCCGAAATGTATAACGATAGTGGCTAATTGATTGTAGGTTTTGAATGGCTTTTGAAAAACTTGTGAAAAATAAGGTATCCATACAAATGCACTAATATGCAGAGATGACTATAGCACTGTGGATAAGTACATTAATGAATTAATCTCTACAAGCTGATCCAAAAAATAAACTGTTACAGTACCAATGAACCTTTGATTAGCTTTGTTATAAAGAGAGAAAAAATAAATACAGCGTGAGTCACAATAAAACCATGAATACACACATATTTAATTATTTATACATATACAAACATATTTAATTAAATTATTAATTATTAATTATGCAGATTCTCACTGGATGTATATGGATGCATGAGACTGAACTGAATGAATAAACAGACTGGTTGAATGAATGAACTGGACTGAATGAATGGATAAACTAATAACTAGATGTTTGGACTGGAAATAATGGACAGATTAGATTGGATGAACTGTTAGCATGAAAGAACTGAGCTAGAGGAATGAATGGACTGATTGGATGAGTGTTTGTATTGCTATTTAGTAAGAATATCTGGTAACACTTTAGAATAACTATCCGTTATAACTAGTTAATAGTCCAATAATAAATAGTTAGTTAATGAATTATAAATGAGTTGTTAAATAAAAGTTAATAGTTTGTTAATTATTTATAACTGTGCCTTATAGATAGCCAATAGATAACTTACAAGCTGTTAGTTAACAAGTTATAAATGATTTGTTTACTGTATTTTATTTATTTATAACTATACCAAATAAATTAGTAATAGATCATGAACAAGCTGTTAGTAAATTACTTACTAAAGACTTATTAAAGATCAGTTAATAGTTTTTGTACGTTATTGGGACGTTATTCTAAAGTTGCAACTATTCTTCATTTTTTTTAACTGTTAGTAAATGAGGAATAGTTACAACTTTAGAATAACGTCCCAATAACATACTTAAGCTAATATATTAACACACACTTTACCAATCAGTTGTTCATAGTTTGTTTACCATCTACTTATACCAGTGAAACTTTGTAGAACAGCAAAGGGATGGAAGAAGTTCAAGCTACAGAAATGTGATATTTAAATTATAAAATATTTATACCTTAACCTTGTTCCACTTATAGGCTTTTCTGTGTGCTGTATTTTACCAAAGAAACTACACAGATTAAATGTTGAACATTGTGTTTAATGTATAGAAACACACATACTGAGCCATCACATGGCAGAACAGCAGTATGCAACAGAATACAAACCCATGAGGTTTTGCCACTTTTTGTGCTAAACATGAAAACAAAATAAATAAAAATGTCTTTTATTAAAAAAGTTCTACAAATGTTTCACTGGTGTTAGTAGATGGTTAACAAACTATGAACAACTGATCTGTAAAGTGTGAGTTAATATATTAGTTAAGTGTTAGTTATTCGCTTGTGTATGTTATTGGGACAAACAGTTAATAAATGAAGAATAGTTGCAACTTTACAATAAAGTTCCTATAACATATATAAACTATTACCTGATACTTAACTAGTCTTTAGTAAGTAATTTACTAACACCTTGCTCATGATATATTACTAATTTATTTGGTATAGTTATAAAACATTAAAATACAGTAAACAAATCATTTATAACTTGTTAACTAACAGCTTGTAAGTTATCTATTGGCTATCTATAATGCACAGTTATAAATAATAAACAAACTATTAACTTTTATTTAACAAGTCATTTATAACTCATTAACTAACAGTTTAATAATGGACTATTAACTAGTTATAACGGATAGTTATTCTAAAGTGTTACCGAATATCTTACTTACCAAGAGTTCCACAGGGTTTGTTCTTGTAGATGCAGATGTCATATCTGAAAACATATAAAGTACTTTTTAAATATTGTTTTGGGGGTTGAATTAAATGATAAGGCTTTAAAGAAACACACACACACTTCTACAGCTATCTTTATGGGGACTTCCCATAACCATAATGATTTTCATAATGTACAAACTGTATAATCCTACTCTACCCCTAAACCCAACTCTCACAGGAAACAATGTGCACTTTTACATTTTCAAAATACTTCATTCTGTGTGGTTTACAAGTCAGCCATTTTCCTCATGGAGACCAACAACTGTCCCCACAAGGTCAAAATGTACTGGTATTATTATACCAAATGTCCCTACAAAGTAAAACATACAAGACACACACACAATAGAGCTGTGAGAGTTCACAGACTGGACACTGTCCTGATAAGAGAGTGAAAACAATGAAAGGAAAAGCTTGATGCCTCCAGCAGACACACACACACACACACACACACACACACACACACACACACACACACACACTGATACAAGCCTCCAATATACAGACTCAACACTTCCCACACTTTCTCTCCGTCTGTGTCCTTCTCTCTCACTCTCTATTTCTTCCACACACATTCCCTTATCTCACACATCTCAACTCTCAGTCGCTGGAATTCAGCCTAGCTCCTCATCGTGTAGATTAAACTATAACATGATTTACCATAAATCGCCAGCTTTTCCAAACACACACGTCAAGTCCTTTAAAATCATTTAAAAATTATAACCTGTTGCCTTGTAGAACCAACGTGGTGCTATAAAATTTTATACAAATGTTTTTTTATACTGTAGATCTCTTGTTGAGAAAAAGAGAGAAATGGGCTTAAAGAGATAGTTCCCAAAAAAAAATATGTCATCATTTATTCACTTATTATCACAAGTTTCTTTTTTCTGTTTAACACAAAATGAGCTCTTTTTCTAAATGCTGGAAACCTGTAACCATTGAATTTCATAGTCTCTGTTTAGCTGACTTTGGAAGTCAATGGTAACAAGTTTCCAGCATTTTTCTAGCAGTCTTCTTTTGTGTTCAATAGAAATTTAAATTTTCATTTCACACCTATTTTGGGTGAACTATCCCTTTAAGACTCACAAACAGAGTTGGATTCATCTGTATATTGACCTGGTGATGAGAACTGCTGTATCATGGTGAGCGATTCCATTGTCAGGTATGGCATTTCCATGACCGTTCCGGTGCAAGATAGACTTTTGCCACTTGCAGAAGCTGTCTAAAGACTTCCCTGCATGATGGTTTACCTCTAGCGTGGGCTGGTAAGAGAAGAAAGGAAAATAAATGTATTAGATAAGCTTGGATTAGACAGGATATCCAGATTGATTACATATACGTTTCACTGTGTGTTTATAATTTGAATTCAATGTATGTGGATGCTTAAACGTTATGAATATCGCAGTATAGCAAATCTCTAATAGTTAATTCCCTGATAACTAGGACTGATTCTAGATTTTATACTGTGTAATTTTAGACATGATGATTGTTCTGTCTAGCTGAGCATTTATTTTCAGTTTGTTTTCAAAAAGTTATCTCAAACAGTTCTTACGCTTACTGAGTTAGAAGATTTGATGAGATATTAGGCTAACATGAAGATTCTTTCCAGGTGAATATTTTATTGTCAGTGTAAGTTTAATTTAATTTTTTTAAATTATAATTTGCCATTCGAGTTATGAAGTTTAATATTAAACGGCTTTGCATTTCTGTGTGTAGTTTGAAGTGTTTTTTTATGTGTTGGCATGGGTTTCCTCCTGGTGCTCCTTTTTCCCCCACATGTCCAAAGACGTGGTATAGGTGAATTGGGTAGGCTTAATTGTCCATTGTGTATGTGTGTAAATGAGTGCGTATGAATGTTTCCCAGTGATGGGTTACAGCTGGAAGGGCATCTGCAGCGTAAAACATGCTGGATAAGTTGGTGGTTTATTCAGCTGTGGGGACCCCAGTTTAATAAAGGGACTCAGCCGAAAAGAAAATGAATGAATTAATGACTGTTTATTTTTCAAGCAACAAAACTATTATTGGTCCAAAGAAAAATAAATAAAGCACCCAAAACTAAAAATTCAGCCATCATTTTCTCACCCCATCATTTGTCACAAACAGAGTTTCTGTTGAAAGCAATATTCTGAAAACTGTCAGGAAAAAAATAGCCATTGACCAATTTTGTTGTGATCGCCAGTGGTATTTTCTGGTATTTTCTTTTCTATTCGCTGAAGATTACCTCCGGTATTTCTAACGAACTACAACTCCCAGCACTCTTTGCAACCATCAACCCCTGCAACAGCTGATAATAGCAACAGCTGTGGCTCATGATGATTGACTGTTTGGTAGGACTATAAAGACACTTCACTTTCAAATTGCAGAGTCTTGTTTCTTTTATGAACATTACCAAGTGGTTTTCTTTGTTTGTGTTCCCGTGTTTTGATTCATGTCTAGTTCACCATTTTGATTCTTTGCCGCCTAGCCTAATGATGCTGTTTTGCTCCTGTTTTGACCTTTGCCTGTACGAGCTGTCCTTTAATAAAATGCATTTGTCTGCTTCATAACAAATAGTATTCGTTTTTCCAACTACAGAAGTTACTGGTTTCTAACATTCTTCATAATGTCTTCTTTTGTGTTCAAGTGAAAAGCTTATAAAGGTGGAACTATCGCTTTTAATCATTATCGCACACGTGATTAAAAAGTAGCATTGCAGTATAATATTTTGGACTGTGTAAGAATTTCTATATAGATGCCACAAAACCAAGTTACATTTTGTAGCATCTTTAAATCAGCACATCCACTGGATTAGCCATTACTATTGCTTCAACAACAGCACAACAGAGTTAATTTGGTAATATGGACACAGCAAACCACTAACACACTGTTAGTACACACAGAAATACAGACTCTAATACTCAGCCTGGCACCAAGCACTCAACCCTGCCACAGCCCCATTACACTCATAACACAGAAACGCACACACTGGCATGGTCTATAATTGTACCATCCCACAATCCCATGTTCGGAGTCTTAACTTCCTCTGGGTTTCCTCTACCACAGTGGGCGGTGGGGAGTTCTCATCTGGAAACGACCCATGTTTGGTTCCATGAAACCTCAACGCACCACATGACGGTTATCTCAACACGGCTAATACTGCTCCTTAATGACCGGTCTCCCGTCATTTGTCAAATGACATTACGCGGAACAAATTACAGGGGGATTTATTTTTAGCCGTCTGCGATTCAGAATCATTAATGCTTCATTAAACCCACCACAAAACCCCAGTCCTATCCTTTCCCTGCCCTGCGTCGTCTGGAGGAGCCTGTTTGAGGTCTCAACTCTGTCGGCGTGTTCCAGAGACCCCGTGAAGTGAGCCAAATCGCTCATGTGGTGTCGTCACGCCACGCTCAGGACAGAGGTGGAAGCCTGAATGCGTGACAGGGGCAGATTGATTGCGTTCGGAGGCAGGCAGTGAGAACAGTAGCTGTACAGTTTGGATTGAGCTTAGATTTTGCTCCATTTTTTTTTACACATTTTGTTTTTCTTCTAGGTCCTTGTACATTCATGATTGTGGCAATATAAGAGGTCATAATCAACAATAAGAGCAGTCATGGCAGGCTCTCTGGACACACCCAGCAGCAAACAGACCAGACTTGTGCGGAGCGTCTCAGACTAGGACGATTTAGTCTGTAAACACACAAACAAGGAATTCTTTGACAGGTGAAATAAGCCAGACTAAGGTTTGTGCAAGTATGTGTGGGTCTATCCACAATAATTAGAATGTTTTTCTGATTAATTATTTGTGTATTCATTCATCCATTTTCCTTTGGCTTAATCCCCGATTTATCAGAGGTCACCACAGTGGAATCAACCATCAACTCCTCCGGTTTCGCACAGCAGATGCCCTTCTAGCTGCAACCAAGCACCATGCAGAAAAACACCAACATGCTCTCTCATTCACACACATACTCATACACCACGGCCAATTTAGTTCATCCAATTCACCTATACCGAATTTCTATGGACTATTGGGAAAACTAGAGCATTCGGAGGAACCATTGCAACTCATGCAAACTCTACACAGAAATACCAACTGGCCCAGCCGAGACTTGAACCAGTTGCCTTCTTGCTGTGAGGTGAAAGTGCTAACCATTAAGCCTCTATTTTGTGTAATATTGACCTTTTTTGTTTGTTTCAGTAAGTTTAAAAGGATAATTCAACCCCGCAAAATGTAAATTTGCTGTTCATTTGCTTACCCTCAGACCATCTAATATGTGACACTGGGCCACAAACCAGTTATAAGTGTCAGTGTTTGGAAATTCAGATGTATGACACTGGGCCACAAACCAGTTATAAGTGTCAGTGTTTGGAAATTCAGATGTATACGTTGCCTGGAAGCTGAAAATATACATTGTTAGGATAAGACTAAATCTAGAATCTGAAAATCTAAAATACTTAGAAAATTGCCTTTAAAGTTGTCTAAATGATCTGCTTAACAATGCACATTAGATATAACAATGCAAATTTTGATATATTTACAGTAGAACATTTATAAAATGTCTTCATGGAACATGATCTGGAAAATAAGAGATTTTGAGATCCAGAGTCACATTTGCAAGTCAGGTTTGCCATCAGTAGAAGATTTTAAAAAATGTAAATAGACAAACTAATTGTTTTTCTTAAAATGGCCACAAAGCATCACTATTTTCCATTAGTATTCATATTATTTTGTAGTGCCAGTAGAGTTGGACTTCCATTTTATAGATACAATGTCAGCTAAAACTCTTCTATAATGTTCTACTTAAAAAGAAATGTCACATACATCTTAAATGACCATTCATACACAAAGTATTCTTCAGACAAACTTTCATATTTGTGACAGACTAGCACTAGGCACTAGCACTAGCACTTATCTGTCACAGATAAACTATCCATTTAACGCACATATACTTAGAACCATATAAATAAAGTGAATGTTTCTTTCAGAAATATGGGTTTAAATTCATTTATTCATTGATTTTCTTTTCGGCTTAGTCTTTATTAACCTGGGGTCACCACAGCGAAATGAACCGCCAACTTATCCAGCACATGTTTTACACAGCAGATGCCCTTCCAACTGCAACCCATCATTGGGACACATCCATACACACTCATTCACTCACATACACTATGGACAATTTAGCTCACCCAAATCACCTGTACCACATGTTTTTGGACTTTCAGGGAAACTGGAGCACCCGAAGGAAACCCATGCGAACACACTAAGAACATGCAAACTCCACACAGAAATGCCAACTGACCTAGCTGGGGCTCGAACCACCGTGCTGCATGGGTTTAAATATCGAACAGAATTGAAATAGTTTTTGTGTATTTTTAGATAATTAAAAACTTACTCTCATAGAGATATATATGGAGCATTAATTTGCACTAAATTATATGATTTTTAAATGTTTTTTAAAGAAGTCGATTAACAGTTCAACTACCAAAAGTATAAGTTATTCTTTAAGTTAAAAAATGCTTAATATTTGTGTGGAAACTTGAGATTTATTTGATGGATGGACTACTCAAAACAACAGAATGCATTTGAAGGGAAAAAAGTACTGTATGTAAATACATTAAAATATTCACAATTTAACAGTATATACTTTCACAAACCCCAGCGAAGTTAATATTTCTCACTTACTACTGAATTTGTAATGAGTGCTTTAACACACTGCAGAACATAAAAGTTTCTTATTTAAACAAATGATTTTGAATGTGTGCTTCGTTAAGTGTCCTGTACCTGGTCTTCCATCAGCAGAATAAGCCTCGTCACCACGATGTTCACTGCATTCCCCAGGCTAGAATCCTGGAACAGTTTGGCAACCTGACCTCCAGGGAAACAAGAAAAAACCAGTCTTAAAAACGAGCCAATTGTCTGCTTTCAGGCCTCTCTAATCCTGCTGTTTACTGTAAAGATGGACACTTTACAGTCTACTATAAAACCAGTGCTAACTGCAGCGCTGGGGCCACGCGGTGAGGTAATCCCTTCATTTAACACATTCCATAGGTGTGAAACTATTTGTAACATTGCCACAAACTGCCCATGGAGATTATAAACTGGAGAGAGAAATGGATTTTCAGGGTGACAGAAGACGTTACATAGTCAACTGGTTTTCATTTAGTCATTATTCTTTGAGCCAATATAACTGACCTTGATAGGTCAAACGTTCTCTGAAGATTCACTCGGTCTGTGATGCATCATTGAAGATTGCTCATTTTAGGTCTTCATAATGATCTTAAGTAAAGAGTTTAGCATTGAACATTCTGTAATCATTAACTAACCCTAATGTTGTTTCAACCTGTAAGATTTTTGTTCATCTTTGGTACACAAATGAAGTAACTTTTTTAAAGAGAAATTAAGAGATTTCGTCCCCTGTTTTGAAGATCTGTTTAATCAAATCTCTGGTCCTTCAATCGCTCAAAACATTCAAGAAATACATAAAGAAATGCATATGAACAAAGTATATTTATCCAACATTTCTGAAATAATCCCTCATTATAATGTACACAGGCATGATTACTTTATATTTTGTATAAAACACAATCAGCTCAACCAAACCTGTTTGATGTGTAAGAAAAGCCTGACTGGTTATCTCAAATCAAGTAATCATGCTTTAAACATAAGCTCTTTCTGAAACTGCTCACTATCTGCTATATAGTGCACTACATTGGGTGTCCATCTTTTTGCAGTGCTGTCCAAGAGCGAATGACCTAATTTCTAGTTTACATTTGATGAACCCTTTGAAGCGCTCATTTCACAAAATCCACTATGAGGCAGTGACAGGAAAAATGCCGGGGTTACCTCAGGAGTCCATGAAAATAATAAATAAAGCATGTTCAGGCACTTGTTGGAGGTAATTTCTTTTATTAATTTAATACATTTTAATTTTATCTTGGTGAAAGTTGGTGTTTTTGTTATTTTTGTAATAAAGTAACACACTATACAAAAACATAATGTGAAATTCAATTATTAAAGCCAATTATACATTTTTAATATAGGGCAGGTGTAATACTCAAGATAAAATTGTCCGCAACAAACTGCTCTCTGGCTCACACTAATTTATTTGTATGGTCTGAATTTGTGAAATCATTTTCATTCCCTCTTTCCTGATATAGTTCACTCATCTGCCCTGCTTTTTTTAAAAGGGACTAGTGAATGAGGGAACAACTAAACAATTTTGAGCACAGCTATTGTTTACTGATCACAAATTTTAACCGATACAATTAAATCTGTTCATTGTATCACAAGTGATTAGGTTTTTTTTTCTCATATATAAATGTTTTGAAAAATCATAATGTTGGGTCAAATTTCAATGAATGGACAGAAATCTCTCAGATTTAAAAACCCATATTTGTGTTTGAAGCTGAACACATCTTATGAGTTTGGAACGGTATGAAAATAAGTAAATAATATTTGTATTTTTATGTGAACTATTCCTTTCGCATGCAAATAAGAACAAGGAGAGTTGAAGCTTACAATATTCATGACGGCCAGAATGTACTGCTCGATATCGCGACGGCCGTGATAGCTGACCATCATCTTGTCGGCAACCACCAGGGTTTCGACGAAGCGCTCTCGACTTACAGAACGTTTCAGTGGCAACTGGCCCCGTCCCATCTGGTTGGGTGAGGGTTTTATTGTTCTCTGCCACCATCCATAACTCTTCCCAGGCTTCTCATCTGAAGAAAGACAGAACGGCAACAATGAGCCCTGTGTACCTACAGAGTTTTTGATATTAATCTGTGATAAGTTAAACAAATGTCTAAGATCCACGTTGAAGACATTCTGAAAGTTCAATATAAGCTCATTATTGTGTAACTTCAATACTGGATTGATTACCTTCAGTCACTCATTTTATGTCACCTAGATATAGGTTAAGTTCAACCCAAAAATAAAAATTTAAGTTTGTATATAATATGTAGTTGTTTTATTGCTATTGCTTTCCTTTCTAAAGAAAAAGAAATTATGTCACATTAAGTGGAAAATGTAAATGACATAAATATTTTCTTGCGGTTTTCATGTTCCCCTTCATGCGAACTCTGACGTGTGTCAGGGAGACACTTTAGGAGGACGCTAGCCGGCCAAAGTTTCTTCCAGACACACGTCTCTGATCTTTATTCAGGGAACAAGGGTTACGTTTGTAACCAAGATGTTCCCCTTCATGAATACACAGAAATGTGTTTGGAAGACACTTTTGTCAGCTAGTATCCTCCCAAAGTGTCTTCCAGACACGTCTCCGTTCCCTATTCGGGGAATGAGGGTTACGTTCGTTAATCCAGTTAATCAAATTTTTTTTTTGTAATGAGGCTTAGAAAAATTTACATCAAGATTTTTATCGCCTTTTTGTTAGTTTCAATTATAAACGGTTTATATTATTGGCCAAAATGTTCATATCGGTACAAACCTAAATTCAAAGTAAAAATGTGTCATTGTTTTAGTCCACAACAGCTTATTGATAAACTTATAACCAATATATAGATACATGCTAACACTCAAAACATTCATTTATTTTTTTATTTAATTTGACGTCTGGAGGACTGACATATAATGAATAAATAGGATACTATACACATATTAAAAGACTCAACAAAACAGGTTGGCAAACAAATTTCATTTAAAACTTACAAACTTTTTGGTTCTTACCGATAACTCCACAGGACTGGTCCATGTTCTGATATCTCAGAGACGAGCGTTTGTACACAACATGTGGTCGCCCTTCTCTGCCATCCTCATTAGTCAAGTTTTTAGCAGAAACCAGGGGTTCAATAAGGTACTCCTCACCTCCTGCTACAATGACCCCTTGCTGGAAAAAAAAAATTGCTTCTTTTTGCTCCAAGTTAACATGAATTAAATGCTTTTTTTGAGCATGAATCCTCATTGTGGATATCATTTTACATTGTACATACACAGACAATACTTTCAAACCATTCCATCATTAGATTTGCTTTTAAAATAATGAGCATGTACTGGGCAAATAATCCCGGATGAAATAGGAACTAATGGTAGCAGGTCAAAGGATATTAGCATGTTCCTCTCTTCATCTCTCTTAATCACACTTTACAAGTGTACATATAATCCTGTAATATGCTTAGTGACGGTCTTGTGGACACACTGAGCGTCCCCTGAAGAATTAAGGCATGCTATTATGATCACTGATAATTAACCTGGAAGCTTCTTGCCGCCTTCATAAGCAAGCATGATCCCCCATTGTATTTGTTGTTGTTGGTGCACACAGTTATGCAGCGGGCTGGTCATTTATTAGCACTTGTCATGGCAGGTAATTTAAATCAGCCAATATTGCAAAATCTAGCATATCCGATGCCGTTGATCAAAGACTCATGGGTTCTGGATGTAAAGCCATTGGTCTTGATTTTGTAATCTGTTTACGCAGGTGTATTACCAGCTCAGGCAAGTAATGAGCATGACACAGCATGCTGCTTGAAACTAAATCCATCATTAGACTCCTAAACACCTGTTTTTGGAGCTGAGGTTTAAACCAGCTGGGAAGGACAGACTTTACAACAGCTGCCCATTTAAAGTCTACAGGAGAGCCATGACAACTCACACAAGTGTAGAAAGAAGATTACATTGTTCACTGTAAAAAGTGATTAGTTACTTTAAAAAATAGGTGAACCCAACAAGTTGACTTTACCTCTAATAACTGTGAGTAAATCTGTTGCAACTTAGAACTATTGAGTTAATGAATTTATTTGTATAATTATGTGCAAATTTAATTTACTTAGTCATTTTAAGGCATCAGGTTTACTCACCTTTTTAAGTAAAGTCAACTAATAGCTTATTACAGTGTACAATGTTTCATTCACTTCGTCTTAGTCTCTATTTTAGAGGTCATCACAGTGGAATGAACCGCAAACTATTCCAGCATATGTTTTACGCAGCAGATGCCCTTCCAGCCACAACCCAGTTTTGGGAAACAACCATACACACTTATTCACACACACACTCATACACTACGGCCAATTAGTTTATTTAATTCTCCTATAGTGCATGTCTTTGTATTGTGGGAGAAACCGGAGCACCCGAAGGAAACACACATGAACACAGGGGGAACATGCAAGCTCCACACAAAAATGCCAACTGACCCAGTCGAGACTTAAACCAACAACCTTCTTGCTGTGGTAATAGTGCTAACCACTGAGCCACCATGCCACACTACACGGTTTCATTGCTTCAGTATAGAGAATTATCTTTATAGATGTTAATCTATAGATGTTAAAAGAGCCTTGTGTTTTTCAGAGTTTGACTGCAACAATTAATTTCTATTTCTACCTCAAGTTTTTACAATTAAGCAGAAACCTAAGTTAGATTTAACGCTTACATTTTACAAAGTGAGTAACCCAAAATGTTCAGGTTTATTAGTCCTATAATTCTGTCACAATATGTTAAAAATAAACCAAACTCTTATTTTGACAGATTGTTGTAAAGATACGTTATTTTTCTGTGTTTACGTGATATGATGACAGAGTTCTGTCGGTATAAAACTAAAAAATAATTCTTGAGATGAAGTTTGTGCTTATATCCTTATATAGTGAGACGACAGAAGCGCCAAATGAACACGTGATTGATTTTGTGTTTCATAAACAAAACCATGCCATTCAGTCACATAAACAAGAAGAAAATGCAGACTTTTCTTAAAATCTTAAAAGTGAATGAGTAAACAGGCTGATTTTCAGATCATTTTGTGGCAAAAGTTCTAACCATTATCAATTAATCAGCAAAGCCTGGATATGTACATTTTTACCATCTTTTTATCCTTATTTCAGTGACTTTAAAAAGTTAAAGTTAAAAAAAGCACATATATAATTCTATTTTTCTCAAAAATAAAACATCATACATAGATGCTGCTAGCATAATACTAAAGCAGAGTTTGTGCTAAAAACAGTTATAAGATTTTAGCCCTCAATGTATTTAACATTAATTAAAAAAGCACAAATGTAAGGGCACGGCAATACTTCTCCAGTTCCCCAAAACCATCTTAGACTCTTTTGCATCAACCATACACATATAAATTAACCTAAGGGTTGAATGGTGATTTAATATTTGCGCATACTAGTACACATTACAATTTGATAAGGTATACTGCTCTACTTTTATTTATTAATTAACTAATGTATTCATCCAAAATATGCCAAATTGTATGAAATTACACAGCTAATTCTCTTTTATGACTGGATTCTTCAATATTGCCTGCCTTTCCTACATGGTGAGAACCACAGGTTGATTAAGCTTGACTTTTTTATGAACCTAAAACATCCCTTTAAGGCAAGATACTGCAAGTCAATGGAGTAAAAATAACTTATATTTATCACCATATTTCCTCAGTGGATTGATTATGTTAAGAATATAATTGTGCATCATTTGAGTGTTTGCTACAGAAGTAAACTGGAGCTCACCAGTCCGTTACAGTTGCTGAGAGCAACAGAACTGGAGTGCGGCTGGTGCTGCAGGTGACCCACATAGTGGCAGCTGGGCAAGTATGGGTGGCTCCAGGCCAAGCGGCCCCTCTTCCAGTATTCGACACGAAACTGGCGCGAGAGCAGTCCTCCCTGCAGCGTGAGGTTGAGCAGCAGATCAGTGCTGGAAGTGGAGAGCTGATAGTACAGCTGCGGCTCTGGAGCGCTCTGTGTTTCGGTGCTGCGCCGGTGGCGGACAGTCCCGTGAGACGTCTCCTCTTCCGAAAGAGTTTCCCCATGAGGCCCCACACGCACTGGGATGGCAATCTCATACTGGCCCAAGCTGGACAGAAACTCAGCTGTGGAAAAACAAAAAAACAATATCCGTGAAACTGATGGATGTTCAGTTTAAATTGATCTCTTATTTGGCTATTAAATGTGTGTACGGATATTTACTTATTAAAAAGCCTTTTATTTGGTTTAATAAAACCTTAAGTGTTTAATATCTCAGTGGAGATATTATTTTATGCATAAATTAGGGCTGGGTGATATGGAAAAAATGCAATCTTGATAATTATTTTCCATATTGAACGATAACGATATATATTTTGATATAAGTTGTTAATGCTTCCAGATTTAAAAGAGTACCCCAGTCGGCACCAATAGCCTAGTGGTTAAGTGTGCCGACATATAGCACTACAATGCTCACGGCGACCCGAGTTCGATTCCTGGCTCAAGGTCATTTATCAACCCTACTGCTCCCAATGCTTTTCTGTCTGTAACCTCAACTGTCCTATCTTCATTTAAAGTAAAAAAAAATAAAATAATAATAATAATAATAATAATTTTTTTAAAAAGTACCCCAACAATGACTGAAGCCACAAAAATGTTAGGGTCCAATAAATAGCATAACATTTTCAGCCCATAATTATTCGGTGGCCAAAAATTCAGTACATGTCTAATATCAACACGCTTTTATATCCCCATTGTTGCACATTTCTGCTGTGTAATTGGCACTTAGATCAATACAGAGTAAAAAAAGTCCAGGGTGTATTATTGTTATTGACATAAATGTCGATATAATATCATTTATCATTTAAATACATGCTAAAGTGTTTATTATAAAACATACAGTGAAAAATACATCAGTATATTAAAATCTTGTGTAAAGACCCAGAAATTATACATGAGAGTGTATATACAGATGTGTATAAATTCTAAGGGGTCATCATACTGAGAACACTTGACCAAAGCCAGAGGGTATTGACCTTTTTTCCACATTTCTTCACTGAAAAAAAATGTGAAAAACAAATCTGCATGATTTGATGTAAATACAGAAATCTGTAAAATTAACCATTAACCTAAAATGAATGAAATTTAAACAAAATATTTAATAAAGCGTTAGATGAACAAGCCAGAGAAATGGGGTGTATGACTGCACATTCACATGCCTTGTCCATTTCAGTTTGAGACAAATCACTAAAAAATTTACTTTTATGGGCCAAACAAATATAAACTGTTGCCTAAAATCAACAATGCATAGTGCAAAAAAACTATTTGAATTGCCGAGAAGGCATTAAGCAATTTAAAGACGCAATACAAACAAGAAGTGTTAATTATACAAAGAAACTAGTGCTCAGAGAATTAGAGAATTAGATGGTAGAGTAAAAGAGAGAAGGGTATTTCTACAGGTGGTTTGTCAAGCCCACTCACCTGTGTAAAGCACACTTCATAAATACAGTTTTTGTGCTGATTGTAAGATTGTGTCTGGGGCAAATGTGCAAAACTGGTGCAAGTGTTTTTTAAAGCAATGGTCTCAAACTCAATTCCTGGAGGGCTGCAGCTCTGCACAGTTTAGCTCTAACCACCACAAATTCCTTCTGCTTAGTTAAGTTTATTCATAAACTAATTTCGAGAGGATCACATGCTTTTGATTGATTGCAGCTGGTCCCGCATTAGTTAATGCATGATCCACCAATCAGATGATTCCTAAATCACTATAAATAACCAGAGTATCTTACCATAGCCATCTTCATCTTGAAGAATCCCCCCTTCCACCCCTACTCCTCCCCTTCCCTTGACAGAGTGGCACGGAGACCCAGTGGTTAGCACCGTTGCCTCAAAGCAAGAATGTCACTAGTTTAAGTCTTTACCTGGCCAAGTTGACGTTTCTGAGTTTATGTTCTCCCTGTGTTTTGCGTGAGTTTTCACAAGGTTTTCCAGTTTCCTCCTACAGGCCAAAAACATGTAACAAAAGTAAATTGACCACACTAAATCGACACCATAGATGAGCGATTAGTCAGCAATATTTCTCTCTATAGTTATTCATAATTTGCATTTCACTATTAACAAGCAGGGTAATTCTCGAGACCTACCTGAGGTCAAACTCTCCTCTCGCCCTGCAAACGGGAGGGAGCCCTAGGCTCGAGGATCTCATGAGCTTAGGGTTCTCCCCTTGGACAGGCTTTATAATCAACAATCAGCTAAGTGTGAACTCGTTTAGTTTTGAACACCTTGATTATATGGATCAGCTGTATTTAATTAGGGTTGGAGAAAAACAGCTGATCTTCAGCCCTCCAGAAATTGAGTTTGAGACCTATGGTTTAAAGTGTCAGAGAGACGAAAGAATGTGTTTTCAACAGGTGGTTTGTCAAGCCTACTCACCTGTGTGAATCACACTAAGTTTGGGGTTGTTGTGTGGTGAGATGGGGGAAAGAAAATGGGTCTTGGTTTTATTTACAGGGATTCAGGTGATTGTGAAAGAAATTAGTTTTTAGCTGTCAAGTGAATGAAGCCTCATTCGCACTACAAGTGACTAGCAACGGCAAAGCAACAACCGACCTTTCATTTTAACGGAGAGTGAGCGACTTCTGGCGACCTCCGTCTACGCAGGTGACAGCGACCGTTGACGACCAGGTGGGCATGTCAATCGGTGCGACAAAGTTGAGAATACTTCAACTTTATGCAAATAAAAAGCGACTTTCTTAAGCGACAGCCAATGGGAGGACCAGTATAGCTCACGAGATGCTTTCTTGGCTCATTCATATGCAGCTTGTATTTTCAGAGCTGTAGACTTAAACAGACTTGCATTTGCAGCAGGCTGCCACCCAGAGCGACAGGCAGCTACAAAGTCGCTGCTAGTGTGAATAAAGCATAACACTTATGAATCAGAAGTCCATGTGAAAATGGGAAGATCGTTCCACTAGCATGAAACATTGAATGAAAAAAATTTGGACATATAGTTTCTCTGTGATGTTACCATAAGTTGGCGCTCACTTTCCAACCAGAGGTAATTTATGTATATCTATACATAACTAACATGAAACAGACTGCCATACCTTGGATCAGCTGGGGCCCATGCAAAGGGCCTCTAGTTACTAACAAGGATTTAATTCAGTTCCAGATATGTACTTTGACCGTGTCAATTGGCGAACAAAAGAGTTCACAGTAAAACCACTGAGCAGACCACAGAGAAGAAAAGCAAGCCCAAAGGCCAAGTGCTGCCTGTTGCTATGGAAATTCTGAAATTGTATACTTCCTGTCGCCGACAGCAGGCCCAGAGATTAATTGTCCAAATTCAGCTTTTAAAAAACACTGTACCCAAGAGGCACAGATAGCCAAAGAGACTAACATCTCAAAACTCTTTTCTACATTCAGGTACTCTATGTGGATCAGTGTCATTAATGTGTAACAAGGTCTCTTCCATTTTGTACAATGTTAAGAGGCAGACAAGTAACCTTTGAAAATACAGGCCATTTTATTAAGCTTTCCACAAGAAGTGAGAGCTCAAACCAAGTGCTGAAAGTATGAAAGATCACCTCTTTCCGTCCTCTCAGCAGTAATTCAAACTGGGCTACTCAAAAAGATTGTCTAATTACTGAAAGAGCAGCTGCTTCTGAGTTTCTAAATCTGTGTGGACTTAAGATCATCACTGGACCAAACATAAGCTCAACAGATTGAGGAATTTTAATACATCAGTTAAAACGACTTTACAAATCACAATCAACTGTAAATTCAACCAGAGGTAGAAGGATTTCATTGTAAACAGTACAAGATAAAGCTACCTAAAAACTACCCAAATTATTGCTTTAGGGAAGGGGATTTTACAAATTAGCTGTTCCTGTTTTGACAATCCCTATCATTTGGTGACTACTGTGTGCGTGCCCTGTTTTTGACATCCCATTTAGTTAATTCCCGGTGTCATCTTTTATTTTTTTGCTCTGTTTTTTCTGTATTCTTCCAGCTTTTGTAACTGCATACTCTGAATATCATTGAAATAGCCTTAAATATGAATGATGTTATAAAATACTTGACAATCTTTGAGCATTTGCAGTAGTTGTGAGCAAACAAAATAACACATTTTAAAGTACAATATAACTCAAGCAACAAAAAAATTGGGGCAGGTCACTTTAGCCACTTTGTGGCTGATTTCATACATTCATTCATTTTCTTTTCGCCTTAGTCGCTTTATTAATCAGGGGTCACCACAGCCAACTTATCCTGCATATGTTTTACGCAGTGAATGCCCTTCCAGCCACAACCCAACACTGGGAATCACCCATACACGCTTGCAACCACACTCATCCACTACGGCCAATTTAACTTATTCAATTTACCGATACCGCATGTCTTTGGCCTTGTGGAGAAAACCGGAGCACCTGAAGGAAACCCACATGAACACAGGGAGGATATGCACACAGGAATGACAACTGACCCAGCCGGGACTCAAACCAGCGACCTTCTTCTCGTGAGGCGATCGTGCTATACACTGCGATACAGTGACGCTCTTGTGGTTGATTTGAAACATGTAATTTAAATGTGGGTTCAGAAAGCTGTTTTTGAGATTCAGTATTCCGACATTCATTTAGGATGGGTCATTGGTCTTGGAAGAACTGCCTGAAAGTGTTGCAAAAATGGCCGCAGAGTAAACAAATTTTCCTTAAAAGTAACCTTTGATTGCTTTTGAGATGTAATGCCACTTTCAGTTTCAAGTTTAGAGGTGTTTGGGCATTACATTGTTGTAAATATTGTTCAGTTTCTTACACAGATAGTTTGTTTTACTTCATGAGACCTCAGTGCATCTTCAAAATCTTCATGAAGAAAAAGATCATCAATCTTAGATGGCCTGAAGGTCAGTAAACTAACAGCAAAGTTTTATTTTTGGTTGAACCATATATGTAAAGGATAATGTACATCCAGATGGTTCCTATATTTCCAAGTGGATGTTATAACAGAATAAAGGCAGATAGGCTTATTGGCAGCCCAGTGCAAAGTAGATGGCTGTTGTAAAAGGCACGCACAGATAAATCGCAATAATTGCGCATAAATAGACGCATGAACATTTTGAGTTTACTCGCTTTCCTTTGCATGTCAAATCCGCTTCATTCGTGCGTCAAAATAGATTCGGATTCGTGTCACTGGCAGGACTTCTGTCTGCCCAGTGACTCTAGCTTCATTGCTTAATGGCTAACGTGAATTTTATTGAGAGAATAGCTGTGTTTATGTGCTTTAAGAATGCTGAAAAACACCATTGATTGTTTGGAGCTGTGTCTGAGTGCTGTAGATCCATTCAGAGGTGCACCCAGCTCTCTGAGTTCATCAACTCCTCCAGAAACTGCACGTGAATGATGGAAGACTTCAGCGGTGTTTCTGACTGAGCCAAGCCCAGTTTGATAAACTGTTGTCCGGAGTCTGCAGGTGGATTTCCCCTGGGACACCAACAGGCACTACGTCATAATCATGCTCCTACAAGAAAAAGCTCACGATTGGTTAACACGGTGCGGATGTCCAGTGAAGTTCAGATTTTCCAACTCGAGTGATTCATTTACGCAAATCGCATCATTTGCACCGCCTCACACGTACCATGCCACAGGATGTCTATTCACCGCCTTTGTATAGACTTAACACGTAAATCCCTCGAGCTTGACACTTCATCTGCTTCTGGTGTGAATGCAGCATAAGAATTACTCTGTTACGAGAAGGGACCAAACAGTTACCAAACAGTGGCAATCACTGACGATCAAGATGAAGTTCCTGGATAAGCTGGTTTTATTCAGCAGTTGCCATCTTAGAATAATGTATCTTGGAATTTCGAGACTGACCAACCAAAATCAAGCATTTAAAGCAGCCATGTAATAATTAACAATAATACCCCAGGTTAAAATGCTTTTAAAAAACACATTAGCCCCAAGCTGCTTCAAAAGGACCGCCTATGAAGCAAAAAGGTACTTTAAGTCACTTTTGATGAACATGTCTGTAAATTAGCCAATGCTTTTCCAATTAGCTGATGTACTCCAGCCTATCTCTCTCTTGCAGTAATAGGAGCCAGGGGCACAGTTGGGTGTCCTGTCAAAGCATAAAAGTGGAGCTAAAACTGTACAACACACCCAGACCTCTGACCGACATCAACCAGGCCTATCTTAAATAAACACAAGACCCACAATTGATGGAAGGGTAGTCCGTGCTCTCACACCTCCAGCAAGCACCGATCGCCCAAAGCCTTTGATATGCCTTTAATCTCCGCAAGGAACCTGAGAAGAGGACAACGCCTGCGCTACTTCCCCATAAACTCCCGCAGCACGGACTGAGCCCCATTAAAAGAATAAAGACTTCACTTTTGATTCAAATAAACCACCGTCAGGAGCCGCCCAGGGTTTGAACGTTTATTTTAGTAGGTTAAGGAGAACAACCTTTAATTAGGACTGTGCTGGAAACTGAAGTGAACCCCCCTTTTTTAAACTGTAGTTTTCCTGTGGAAACCGGGCTGGAGAATGAAAGAGTGAGAGAAAGAGAGAGAGGTTTCTCCACCTTTCGCAGATGTGCAACAGCTGCATCAAGTCAGCGAGTGCGTCCAGACTTGTGGAGGAGAAAATGCTTCCTCATGCCAGGCTGAGAAGTCAGTCTTTCTTGAGCGGAGGCCCTGTCAGCGACTCAAAACCCATCCATATCCTGTTTGTGTACCGTCTGCCACGCTGCTATTTGGATTGCGAGATTAAAATATACGCCTGTGGTGACCCGTCTCTGCTTGTGGTGAAATTATACATAAACTCAGGGCTCTGCTTTAATAACCGTGCGCTACATGATGTAACTTTGGTCAAAATTAAGTTACTTAAAATACAAAAAGAAAAGGATGTTGTGCAACTATGCATATTTGTCCTGTTCGCCTTTTGAATAAACGCACCGAACCTCAGCCAAATATTCTTACACGCTTGTCCTGAAGTGGACCAGACGACATAGTCAAATCCACATGTTCCTATTATGTAACCTGAATGAGGTTTGTATCTATTTAAATCTTATACATTTCAAATGACTGAACAAGATTAGTATGCGGCAGGATTACTCATTTCGATGTATAAAGTGCCTCGTGTAAGTCTTGTTGCTGATTGCAAGAAAAGAGAAAGTGGTCGGTTTCATGGAGAGATGGGTCATGGAGTCTGGCTGGCTCTGGTGATGGCTAACTGACGTTGTGGAGCATCTGTTCCTGGTTGTCTAAATGGTTTGTTAGCGCTTAACTCTCGAGGCTAACGATTCATTCTGCTTTTTGGCTTTGATGAGCTGCCATTGCTGCATCTATTAGCCAGTGTGAAATGGAAAATTTCCCAGGTGTCAACAAGTACGATTAACATGTTGACTAATATACCAACTAGCCTTTTATTAATAAGAGTGAAGTTGTATAAGCAGAGTATATAGAGATATTATAGAGTGCAACTCAATATCATTTAAGAGCTTTTTTTAGACTCTTTCCATACATTTTAAGACCTTAAAGCAACTTTAGGTTTCAACTGGAAAGACTGGCGAGATTTTAACTTACAGTATATTTACTAAATGTAAGAAACTAAATCAAAACTAAAACACTATACATATACTGAATAAAACCTGTTAAATCTAGCTAATTTAGCAGGTTGGTGCCTATGAAACTGCAGAAATTATGTTGTTGCTTTGATTACTGCTGTAAACAATGCAGCATGATGTCAAAACTAGCAGGATTTTATTAATTTCAAAAACTACACAGCATCCTGATATTTGCAGATTTAATTAAAGCAAACTTTAGCATGCAACCACACATTGTATAATCAAAAATTATATAAAAATTGAATACCTTGCCAAATAGAATAAGACTTTAATACTTATTAAGGTCCTTAAATTTCTCTACATTGATTTATCAACTTGGCGACGCAGTGGCGCAGTGGTTAGTGCTGTCGCTTCACAGCAGTAAGGTTGCTGGTTTGAGCCTCGGCTGGGTCAGTTGGCGTTTCTGTGTGGAGTTTGCATGTTCTCCCCATGTTTTTTTTCTTTTTTTTTTCATGTTCATTTTTGGGACACAGTTTTTAGTTGTTGTTTGGTGTAAAAATTTGTCACACTTGTGGTGATCCTGGCAAAAAAATGGCCATCTTACAAAAAATATTTAGATTTAAAATTGATCTTAATAATCTATATCAGGGGTCACCAATCTCGGTCCTGGAGGGCGGGTGTCCCTGCAGGGTTTAGCTCCAACTTGCTTCAACACACCTGCCCGGATATTTCAAGTATGCATAGTAAGACCTTGATTAGCTGTTCAGGTGTGTTTGATTAGGGTTGTAGCTAAGATCAGCAGGACACCAGCCCTCCAGGAACGAGTTTGGTGACCCCTGCTCTATATTATGTCCAAACATTGAATTCAATTGTTTTAGAGAACACCACAAGTTCTACTTGTGATCAAACAATTCACAAAGCTTAAAATTTACAGCAACAAAAAAGAAAAACAATCACGATCATACCTTGAGACTGTGCAAACTTCTCATCGCTCCAACTCTCCGCCCCTCCACTGGCAACCATGGCCATGATGCCAACACAGGCCAAACTCCTCCACACCGTTTCCATGGTTACTACAGCAAGCTTCAATGGGGTGCCCAGCCCTCTGTCCCAACATGTCTTCTGCCCTCTGACGGCCCAACGCTCACCAAAGTGACGCACAGATTTCCAGAACCATGGCAGCTTCAATTCCACTGGATCCTGACGCTTCGTCTCTCAAGAGTCAGAGGTGGAGGACGGGCTGTTCTGAGACGTGTACAAATGGAGAACATAAATATGAAGAGCCTCCCTGTAGAGAACAAAACAACATGTTAGATGAAGTAAATGTAAGGGTCCCTTGACTAAATGGTTCCTCTGGTCAAACATATTGACTTAAAAGGCAGTTGTTTGCACCCAGAGCTAATCAATCATTACTCCTTTCACAACCACAAGAAAGGAAAAAAACAGATTTTTAACTTGGAGGCCACTGGCTCTCTTCACTATATCCCTCACCGGAAGAGCAAGAAAAAAAAGGAAAGCATTGAAGGGGTCAGGAGGGCAAGCTGACATCTAGGACAGACTATTAAACAACAGTGCCTAAGCTAAAAAGGTCTGGGTCTTGTTTACACTTGGTATTTAGATGTGGTTTGAAATTCATTTCACAAGTGGACAAAACTAGTCTATACTAGATGCAGCTGTAATGGGGTTTAAAACTTTTGAACTTGATGACATCCTGAGGTAATCGAAAACACATTTCATTAGACTTGTTTCATGATAAATGTGTTCAAACAGCCACTTAAGACCACCTATTGACCTAACTCTTAAACATTGCAGGATGTGTTGCAGAAGCTCACTGACCAGATGGGATTTAAACTTTGCCGCCTGAAATCTTTGATTTGAAGGTGAAAAATTTCATCTTTTTTTATGAGTAGTTGACTAAAATATTCACATATTTAAATTTAGAGAATACTTGATTCTCTTCAACAAATTTATAGAACAAATTGATTTACTTCACGTATAAAATCTTTAACGTGCTGTAAAAACTATATATAGATTTTTTTAAGGAATGTTTGTCAAGTGTAGTCATTTTGATTAATGGAGACATCTTATAACAGGGTATATGCAGGAATCCTAAAAGTAATTTCAATAACTTTTTTAGACTTTTTAAAGACCTTCTCAGATTATTTTAAGACCTCGCCGCCACTTCAAGTTCTAATCAGTATCAAACCTTTAACTTAATAAACAGTTGTTAATAAACAGTTGTAGTTTAATAAATCAATAAAGTACAACAGAACTCAGATAAGCTCGGATGAAACAAAGCTTAAAAGAATAAATTACGTGGTTGTTTTCAGCGACAGCCTTCAGCCACTATTTAAACTCATCTTTCTCTAACCAGAAGTTCCCCATTTTGCCGTGTGTTTTGCTCTATGGTTTTGCTACATGTGGAGAGCGTCTCATCACCTTCCCGTGTTTGTCACAAATTACGTGACATCACCCGGATGGAGGAGCTTGATCGAGCACGCCATAGTTAATATTAGGAGAAAAATAAATAAAATATTTGTGCTTTTTTGGAGTCAAACACTTTGGACAACGTTTGAACAAAATTTAAGACGTCATAAAAACGCATAAAAGACTTTTTATTACTTTTTAAAGGTCTTTATTTTCTCATAATTAGTTTATAAACTTTTAATTATTTTTAAGACCGCTCAGACACCCTATATAACTTGCATAAAATTGTTTGGGTTTTTTTCACAAAGACACTCAAAATAAATACTCTAACTGCTTTGCAGGATTTGGATACAGAGCTTGAACATCTTTATCAATGAATTATTATTATTATTATTATGGGATTGGCCATATTGGTGACTGAAATGATCAATTGTAGTGAAAACAAGATAATAAAAGACGAGTTGTTTACACTTAAGATAAGATATTTGTCAGCTGAGTTTCAGGGTTCATACACATTTTTACAAAAAAATGTCATGACTTTTCCATGACCTAATGTTTCATGTAATGTCTACGTATATCTGGTAAATAATAAGTAAATTAATGCATGTTTAAATTTATTACAGCATATCATAAAACACGCAACAATCTTTTTTGATTAAATTTATTTTTATATCTATGTAAAATAGATCATGCTTACACAGCACTAATAATGTGAGCATGTTTTTGGCCAAGAAAACAAAAGAAGTAAAAACAACTAACCTCCATTCCAGTACACAGATATTTGTCAAACTAATTTTAGATCATCTTAATAGTTTGTTTAACTAGCAATAGTAGGTAAAACTACTTCTATTGTAAAGCTGTGATCACACTGCACTTTTCACTCCATAGACTTCCATTCATAGGCATGCGAATGCAGCAGACCAGTGACGCAAACATGTGCGACAAGTTTCGCATTTCACTGCATTTGTACGTTCAAGCTTGGTGAATTCTTACCTGCGAAATCACATCAGTCAGCCAATGAAAGATAACTTAAAATAAGAAATTAAAAATATGGAAAAATCACTCAATTTTATTATGATTTATGTCTAATCATATTGTTTAACCCCAACCCATTTCGCAGTGCCGTACGACAGAATTTCGCAAGCACAAGCTCTAGTGTGACTGCAGCTTAAGTCACTTTGGACAAAAAGTCTGCTAAACTTTTCCAGGCCTGGAAAATGATATGTCAAAATTCCATGACTTGTTTAGGTTTTCCATGACTCCATGTCTGAACCCTGGAGTTTAATGTATACAGTTATGTATAAGTGTTACACTATTCATCATAAATATTGTATAAATTATATAAATCAGATTAAATAAAACCTTGTGTGCATTTGTTTGATTCAAATGATATTTGATTTTGCTGCTTTAAAATATGTTCACTGTCTTACTCAATAAAATTGTTTCATAAAAAGGAAACAATTTTTTGGAGCGCATAAAAATTGCAAGATCATAGATACAACACCACTCCCACCCCTCTGAAAATTATTATTAACATGAGTAATTCTACTATTTCTGCTAATAATAAAACACATTTTCCTTCCTTTACTCTCCATCCCTCACTCCATGCGTTCTGGGAAGAGAGAAAGAGATGTCATAGAAGTCCTGATGGGCGAAGAGAAACCAAATGCAGACAAAGGTAATCAAGAACAGATGGGAAATGATTTGGCAACACAAATATACCAGCTGATGAAAAAAAGGATGAACTTAAACTAAAGAAAAAGAAAGGGAAAAAATTGGTTACAAGATGAGGGATTAGAAACAATTTGGATAAAGGTGAGAGAAAAAATGTAGATTTTATGCACATATTTTTCCATCAAGTATAACTATTCCTTATCAGTACAACACAAATAAAGACAACAACAAGTATGCTGTGTGTTTGTTGTATACCTTATGACTAAAATGTCCCCATAAGTATCAATGCGTGTAAATTTTGACTCTTTAGTGACATTTTTGGGTCCCTATAAAAAAAATGGTCCATAATCCCCAAAGAATGAAGCATTTAGAAAAATTGATATAAAAAATCCAGATTGTTCCTGGTGAGGGTTAAGATTAGGGGTAGCGTTGGCGTAGGGCCATATAATTTAGGGTTTTTGACTGTATGAAATACATTAAGCCTATGGAGAGTTCTCAAAAAAAAACAATACCAACATGTGTGTCTGTGTGTGTGGAGCATTGTCTCATTTCTATGGAAAAACTGTTTTGGAAAGTTATTTGAAACCACTGTGCGAGACTCGTCCAAGATTTCTTGTCAAAGTAGCTAAAATGCCTGACAATTTTCTACAAACCTCCTGTATTAAAAATCAAACACTCTCTGCCTTCAATGAAAAAAATAGCAGCAACAAATAGGTCAGGACCCAAAAGTGGCCCCAGAGGCTGATGCTGGTTTTAAGTTCCCCTCATTTCCTATGAGCTGCATTGAAACAGCTTAAGTGCAGAAAGTCATCTTAAAGCACTAAGGGGTCTTTGTCCCTTACAAATAGTGATGAACTACATGCCCCTATGCTCTACACACCATTGCAGCCCTCCAGGCATTTTACTTTTATTTCCTGCTTGGAAAGAGATTATTTACTTCAGCTCTTGTTAGAGTTTTATTGTGGAGTTGCTGGACTGAGATTGTGGGTTTTCATTAAAATATAGTCTTATCCAAACCTTGGAAAATAAGATGCTAGATTTGGTCTTTCTTTTTTGTTTATATGTCATAAACTATGCTGATTTTAGGCTTGATCGACTTAAAGGGCCAATTTTTAAAAGGTTATGAAATCAGACAGTTGTCCTAAACTACAGCTGTAATGTACTAAACAGACATTTTCTGTCTATATTTTCACCCATGCCACAACACTGATAATGAATCTACAGTGTGAAACAGAGAGCGCAATCGATCTAATTGAGTGCCTAAGCCAATGAGTGTTATTTTTAGGGAATCATTCATTCATTTTGCTTCGGCTTAGTCCCTTATTTATCAGGGGTTGCCACAGCAGAATGAACCACCAACTATTCCGGCATGTTTTACCCAGCAGATGTCCTTCCAGCTTCTTGCTGTGAGGCAACAGTGCTAACCACTGAGCCACTGTGCCGCTTTTAGGGAATCAAAAGCAATATACAGCAATATAATCCCATTTCTACAACAACTGACTAATTAGTATGTTCTTTTAAGTGATTAAAACCCCTATATGAACCTTTGCAATCTACTTCTAAATTTAATTTCCTAATTTTATTGAATCAATAACCAAAAGAAGGTAATGATTCGCACTCAATTACTTCGTACTGTTTTTATTTTTACTTTTTCTTACATTTTACGGGTGATAACAGACAAACAAACGTTTCGGCTCAAAGCCTTCCTCAGTGTGTGAATCAATAACCAAAATCAAAAAGTAAAACCAGTGTCTGAAACTATTGTACTTAATGAATTGAAAACCTACCAGTCTGATTCTTAATGAAATACATATTACGGTTTAGTTCTTTTAAAAACCTACAACAAAACATATAATATTGTAATGAATATTGTAATCTGGTTTCCAAGTTAACTATTCTGATCAACACAGACTCATTCTGAAAACGTACCCCTATATAAATATTTGGAGAGCACCAAATACATTCCAGGAGGTATGTGTTTTTTTTTTGTGTTTTTTTTGCAGTTTTTGTATTCATGAATGCACCAGAGTAAGGTTGCACAATACTGGAATTCGGTACGATCAATGCTGAAATTTTAAAAACGTCCATTTCCCGCAAACATTTGCGTGCCATTGGGTTCAAGTGCTCAACAGAAATGACTGTGATTGGCCGTGAAGGTCATCAGTTCACTGAACTCACCGCTGTTTACTGGGTGTAATCACAGATACAGGAACACTGAAGTGTTTTAAAGCTGCGATTCATCAGCTGATCGCTCGTATGTCAGCTTATAGACAAACCAGCTGATTAGCGTGACTTTAAAACACTGGCGACATTGTGGCTCAGTAGTTAGCACTGTCGCCTCACAAGCAAGCAAGAAGTTCGCTGGTTCGAGCCCCGGCTGGGTCAGTTGACATTTCTGTGTGGAGTTTGCATGTTCTCCCCATGTTCATTTGGGTTTCCTCTGGGTGCAGAGGAATACACTAAACTGGCCGTAATGTATGAGTGTGTATGGATGCTTCCCAGTACTGGGTTGCAGCTGGAAGAGCATCCGCTGTGTAAAACATATGCTGGATAAGATGGCGGTTTATTCCACTGTGGAGACCCCTGATGAATAAAGGGACTAAACCGAATGCATAAATGAAATAAAAATATAAATAAAAACATTTAAAGGAAAATGTAAACATTGTAACTTTCTCATGATGCTCTTATTCATGTTTCTGTCTACATCCCAGGAATTGTGTGCAATACTACGCTTATATAAATTCTGAAAAGGTATTACAATAAACAATGCATATTGTAACACCACTAAATAAAGCATAGAGCATAAAATGAAACAATTGACTTCGTATTGTGTCCATACAATATGTTGCACAGTCCTATCATCCAACATCCAAATGGACAAAGCAAAATTGGGTAGATATTGTGTAATAACAAAGACCGCAATCATTTAGTTCCCATTCTTAGTCATAACTGATGATGTTATGAGAATATCTGGACAAAAAAAAGGAAAATATCTAAACATTTCCAGCGAATGATTCACTCGTCCATCTGTGGTCTGTTTTGTGATAAAAACACAGCCCACAAGCAGAAGGAGCTCAAGCCACAGAAAGATACGACCTTGCAGAGCAGCATCTCCTCCAAAAAATTCAGCTGTGGCCTTAAAGGAGTTCAACTTCATAATTGGCTGCTCTTGGGGGTAAATCAAAAATGAGAAGCATCTGTGAGCTACAGACGGCGTGTCGACATGTACTGAATTTGACACAAAATTTCAAGAAGGGTCTTGTAATCTGTTAGCAGCAGACATGAGGGACGAGAATGTGTGTGATCTGGCATTTTGTGCTGTCAGACTACACCGGTGGCGACGGGGAGCCATCAGGCGCAAGTAAAAGACTCTGATAATTAAACCCATATGACAGACTGAATGTAAAGCGCTCTGCAATGGAGAATTTCTTTGGTCTCAATGCTCTCAGGAAACTAGTCTCTATTTATCTCCATTTGGATGCTAACAGAAATTGTCCTCACTTAAGCTTGACACTGCGTTGCAAAAGTATGATCCCCTGGCCTCCACAAACACTGTCGCACCCACTAACAACAAGCCCTGATTTACACAAACCAGAAGATTCAAACTGGGAAAAAACCCAAAAACAAACAGAAAAAGCCGGCGTATCAGACTTCTCGATTCATTTTCAGCTCGCTCTTTAAAATAAACAAAGCACAAACAAGGGAATTAAGCGATCGTGATCGCTGATGCACTGTCAGCAGAACTGACTTATGTAAGAGCCGGTAATGAACTCTGAATCCATCAACGGAGACCATAATGTGAGAGGCATTCACGGCCGGCTGTGGAGCATGAAGATTTTATACAGCTTGCAAAACGCACGCCAACGAACCAGCCAGATTTCACCAGACCAACCCTATAAACACTTTGTTTTCTCTTAGAAAAACAATAGAGTATTTATTTCGTGACAGATATCATCCAAACAATGAGCCTCTTTAGTTTGCTTATGGTGTTCATAATGTTCACCAGCAGAGGGTGCTAGTCTGATTTGTTTCTAATCTATTTATATTAGTAAATATAGAAATGGTAATCATTCAAAAATGTTAAAGGCAAATTGTGAAAACTATAAATCTGTTGTATTATTTCTACTTTACATTAATAAAATATATCAATATGATTGTTATGATTGTTATTAGTTACATATTATTTATTAATTTATGATTTATTTTATAATTGTAACACTGTAAACCAAAGTATCTGACAGCTTGTAGAAAAGGGTTCAAACACCTTTATTTATTAGCATTCACTTCTTTCTTTTTGCCATAATTTTCCATATCTTTTTATATATTAAAAACACACACACACACACACACACACACACACATATATATATATATATATATATATTTATTTATTTATTTATTTATTTATTTATTTATTTATTTATAAAATAGATTAATTGACATACTTTTTCAAGCCCTCGAAAATCTTCTTACGTATTTAAACATTTAAAAAATCTTGTCATTGTCATTGAAGGAATTTTGAATCAGGTCTTAGGATAAACATTTCTCTGCAAATTAAGATCATTAAAGGATCATTAAGATCATTCACCCATTTTTTTTTTTTTACTCACTCTTTACTTGTTCCAAACTTGATTGACTTTATTTATTTTAACCCAGTACTGGCAAAGTATTTGTTTTTTATACTATTTAAATCCATCCAGGCTCATTGTGATTATGTACCCCTATATAGATTTCTGGAGAGCGCAAAATACGTATGCTTTTTCAGAACTCAAATTTCTCTCGCGAATGCCATTCGTGCCTGCTCTTCTCAAGCAAATCCACCAGAGGCAGCTATTGACTATTTCACTGACTGACTGACCAACTGACCGATAACCCCTAAACGCAAAAATACTATTTTGAAAAGCACTGAGTGGCCCGACCATGCACTTCCCAAAACCCAACCGCAGTGTATTAAAAAGCAATTCAGAAAAATTAAAGCCCTCGCTTGATTTTTACCATGTTTTCATAATTCACCACATTCTCACCCTGTTATTTACTATTTTTTGGATTCTGTTTTTGTCTTACCCACCTTCTGGAATCATTCTTCACCAGACTCGAACCCCGTCATTGCAGTCAACTCCACTCTGCACTTCATGTTTGCTGACTTACATGATGAGCTACTGAAAAAACTAGTAACAATAGGAAAGCCGTCCATACGGAGGTAAGTGGTCAGCTGGTTAGCGTGAAAAGGAATGGCATCACACTGCCCCGTAGTTTTACATTTTTAGATGCCGTTTTTCAGCTTTTTTCAAAGACCCATCCTCAATTTTCAACCAAATAAAGAAACATATAAAAGGTTTGGATCCATTTGAGGATGAGAAATTGATGTACATTTTAGTGTGAACTACCCCTTTAGCAAGTAACTCTCCTTACAAACACAAGTCTACATCTGATATCGAAGTCTAAATATAAGACTGGTAGTTTCCAGAGGCTACCCCAAGCTCTCCATCACATGCAGATGCGCACAGACAGCCGCGGAGCCGTGCCAGGAGAAGCGCTGGCTCTACCTCAGCAGTTCCCAAACCTGTTCCTGGATCCCCTTCAACCATACACATTGTAGATGTCTCATCTCACACACCCATCTCAGCGCTTGGAGCCTCTACTAACAGCCTGATGAGTTGAATCAGGTGCGTTTGATTAGGGAAACTGCCAAAATGTGTATTGTTGGGGGGCCTCCAGGAACAGAGTTGGGAACCACTGCTCTACCTGACAGGCAGCAAGTCTCCTGGGCGTCTTTGTTGCCAGCGCACGCATTCAAACTACATCATTTATCCAACTTTCAAACGTCTGCTGTGTCTTGAAAAGCCAAATGATGCAGTATTACGCTTGTATAATAACTAGATATTTCATGGGGGAGACTGCTGCTCTGTTATTCTTCAAGTTTTTTGTCCACCAGTCATTGCATTTGATAGCAGCTGTAATCAGGCATTAATGGAAATGTTACAAGAGCGGCTAATTTATGAAGTCTCCTTGGGAACTGGACGCCTTCCTCAGAGGCTCTTGGCAAATCTTGGACTCTGCACCCCACAGACAAAGAGAGATATTTCTGCTTTCTGCTAGAGTGATCACCAGCAGGTCTGACAGCGCTTCTGCTTCCATCAGTTCAGTTTTATTTAACTCCATAATACAAATTAGCAGCTGAATAATCGTGCGTATGTATGTCAAAGAGGGGTTCTGCAACTATGCACAGCTGCAATGAACGCATGTTTTGACTTCATAAAACAGTATAAATGAAGAAAGTCTATTGACAGACGGGCTTACCGTTCAGTTGTCCAGGAACGAACAGTTTGGCGACCCTGAGATTTGCTGAAGTTCGTCTGGTCTGTAGTCCTCCTTCAGCACCGGGTTGATTTCTGCCACATACTGAGATGAGCCGGTAGACTCTGCTCTTGTGCTGCGGGAGTTATCTGCTCGCTTCAGTCTTGCCGCTCAAGAGAGCAACTGAGTTCGTACTGCTCGTTGGGGATGTCCGAATCGCGAATGAATCGTTCTTTTGAACAGGTTCCTTTAATAGACTCAGTTGAACCGAATCGCACGCGGAATAAGATCCGCGTCTCTGATTAATTCTGTCAGATTACCTGATTTAACCTAATTTCCATGACTTGTTTTTATTATGTTTATTACACCCACTCCATGTAATTTGTAGTTATTTTAATAACAGCATTGAGGACAAAAGGAGAAATAGGCCTAAAACAACTTTATTTAAAAGCACGTATGTCTGTGACATCGGCTCTGCCTGAATCACATACGTTAGGTGACCTAGGCTACTAAACATACTACAACTGTTGCATTTGTTCAGTACTTTAAATGTGTGTCAATGTAAATCTTTGGCTACATTTTCCATATTGTCAAGATCTAATAGGCTGAGTTGTGTCACTTGACTATCGTTTACCTCATTTTTCATGGCCTCCTGAGACAGTAAAATGTTTAATGCAGTTATTTGCCTACTTTGATCTCGAAGAGAGTTTACATTCAATTCAGCTTTATTTTTATAGCGCTTATACAATGTAGATTGTTTCAAAGCAGCTTCACATGAATGGTCATAGTAACTTAAATTGGAACAGAGTAGTTCATATTTGTTGGGCCTATTTAATACGACACCACATTTCGATATTTTCAATTAAAATTATAAAATGTAAGCTGTGTTTTAATTGGAAACTGAGGGGGAAACCTAACGTTAGTGAGTTAGATTTCTTGAGTTTAGAGCATCACTCATGTTAAAGCTCGCTGACTGACATCTTTGCAGTATGAACTTTTCAAACAGCACGAGCAAGCTAACGTTACACTTACGCTCGGTCTTACAGACAAACGACATAACGACGAGAAACGAACATTATTAAGCTTTTCAACGCTGGAGGGACGCGCTGAGTCCTCCAAGCTACGTTTTGCTCATTGACAGGTAACGTTAACGTCAAAATACCATTGTTAACTCGAAACAGCTGACAGGCACAGTGTTTGCTAACCAGTAGGCTGTTTGTGTAAGGCTATGTCAGTTAGCATTGATTAATTTCCATTCCTATTTATCAGTGCTGCTTATATTTTAATGTTAAAATGTCTTACCTTAATCCCTTTTTATTCATTTTAATCAAGAACTTTAAGCCGTTTTTCTTTGTTGCTTATAGTCAACATTTTAGGGCTACAACAAACGAATCTCGCTCTCTCTACAAAGAAAAAATAAGCAAACCTTGTTGATAAACATAACAGAAGCCTTTGAGAACATATTCTGAATAGAAACGCCGCGCGAGGACTCCTGAAAACTATTCGAATCATTTCACCTGAAACGAAACGTCCGAACGAATCGATTCTTTAAAAAGACTCGGAGTTTGTGCAGTTCAGCGCTCGTTTGCAGAAAGACAGACGCCGGACGCAGGGCGGAGCCACAGCGGCAGAACAATCGCGCTCTGTGCGTCGCGCCGCTTCTGCTCATCGCTTTGTGCAGGCCGCTGCGCTTCGATCACCTGTTGGATATCGGATACCGACCTCCCCCCTTAAAAACAGAGCCGGATACCAGATGCGCTGTCGTCAACAGTTATTATGAACCCTCAAAGGAAAGCGTGATTCCTTTACCTTCACCTAGAAATGAAAAACAGGCGTGAAACACAGAAAAAAGTATAATGCTCGGCTTTGGATCTAAGGCTCTTTATAATGTAAAACAGCCCAACACTGAAGTATCAGGCTGATACGTAATGACTTTTTTAATCTCGTGAGTGAGAGCTGAGTTTAAACACAGCTTGATGTAGCCTATTCATTGAAAGGTTTGCTTTTGTGGTCTCCAAGACCCCAATATATTTAAATGAGTGCAGTACATTTTTAAAAATGATTTTCTGACTATATAGCAGTCTAATTGAATTTGATTTATTTTGTGTTAGCCTGTGTTTTTTCCAAAGTTTTACCCTTAATACCCTAAAGCAACTGGATTTCCATCGCAGATTAAAAGTGACACATTTTTAACAGCTTTGACTGAGAAAAAAGTAAGAATTGTCATTTTATATCTTACAGTTTACAGGAGAGTTAAAATTGAGAGATAACTATGATATAAAAATGCAAAATTCGGAACCTTTTTCTCAATTCAAAAGGTTTTAAAAAGTTATGACTAAGAAAAGATTTGATTCAATAAAGTCACAAGTTTAGACCTAAAATATTACACTTACACCCAGGGCTGTTTATATCGAAGTTAACATTATAGCCACACCATGTTGGTTATTCGTAACATCTAATTTTTACGTCATTTGCCCAACGCTCAACCCTCAATCCAATACATTACTGACCATTTAATTTACCCAATATATCGATAGTGTTGTATGTCTTTAGACTGTGGGGCAAACAGGGGAAAAAAACACGGGGAGGACGTGCAAACTCCACACAGAAATGCCAACTGGCCCAGCCGAGGCTTGAACCATCAACCTTGCTGTGAGGGGACACGCTACCCACTGCGCCAACATGTCACCCCTAAAATATTATAATATCTTAATAAAAAAAATTATATATATATATATATATATTATTTTTTAATATCTTTAAAAAATTATATTTCAAATGAGTCACAAGGTCAAAAACATAAAATAAAAATGATATGAATCTAAGTTAGAGAAAATAAAAGGTGAATTTGGGAATTTTCAGTGTGCATTATTTTTAAACATACTCCAATAACTGACGGTCACAGGGAACCCAAACATTAAAACTATTTAATTAAATTATGATTCCCACTTTAATGCTGTCTGGCCAATCTGAGAAATTTATTTAGTTCTTAGTCTGTGTGCATTAATAAAGCAATGTAATGATATTTTTTCAGCAGAGTTTAAATCTAAATTTATGCCTTGATGGCTCTCTAAAGCAATTGAATGCAAAATATATGAAGCCATTTCTTTTTAAGTGTTATGCATTAGTCTGCAGCACAGCATTTTAAGGCGGCTGCATCCCAAGACTTGGGTGAGAAAAAATAAGAGTTTCTGAGAAGCCTGAAGGGAATGCAAATGTGAGTGATTCGAGCAGCCCACACAGTTCACCTGTGAGTGTGAGCACAAAAACGCACACACGTTTTCTGTCTAACTCTTTCTATCTCTCTCTCACTCACACACACACACACACACACACACACACACAGACAAAACTTGGCAAGCAGTCTAGCGTACAAGCCAGATCAGAGAGCTTCATCACTTCGGCAGACTAAATACATATAACTTCTTTACCAGTTCATCCGTGCCGTGTCTCCTCTCTTTTCTTTCTCTCTCTCTCTTTCTCTTTCATTCTATCCCTCTTTTTCTGGATTTCAGCTACAGGCCACGGTGAGTGTTTAATAAGATTATTCTGCCTTTTTTGGGGGGGCTCTGTCTGCCAAGGACCGTCTGTTCTTATCTTATCCTGAGGCAAATTCACAACCTATCAAGGTCAATTGAAATGTCAGACATGTAACTTGCAAATGAGAAGTGATATTAGCAAATTGAATGTTCCACAGAGGTCAAATACCGTACAGACACATAACCATTACATTACATTAAATTAAGATAGCTGATATCAACTTAATAGCTCTTGCCGGCATGTGATGTGTGCATGTTAAGCAACACTTTTGAGCAGATGTGGCGTGTTGTAAAGCGTGTGCTTGACACGGAAAGTCAAGTGCGCAGTTTTCAGTTTTTATCTTAAAATTCTGAAGTCTACAGGTATTTATTTTAACTTTTTTATGATGTATATGCTAACTTCAGAATTGTTTATACCTGGATTGAATTGTTATCATAAATTACTTTTTTTTACTTGATTTTTTTATGAGTGTTGGCGTGAATTCAACCTTTAGCAGTTTTTTTTTTAAATATGACACTATAATATAATACTTTCAATGTATAATTTTTTTATGCAAATTCATCATTTTCCATACATGAAATTCAGATAAAGGGCATAAGATGTTTCTGCAAACATTGCATTTCATGCACTGCAAAGTAGCAGATAATTCATGTGGCTTCAGATGAAGATAATATATATGTTGTGCTTCTAAACAGGTGCAGAAAATCTGTTTAATTTCACCCCAGATGTTGTTTTAAAAGAAAAGTGAAACTGTAATTTATAATGCTAAATTAGACTGTACATTTGTATGTGTTTTTAACAGTCATCTAAATTTCTAATGAATTGATAGGACCTTAATTTTAAATATTTCATGCAATTGTTTGCATAGCACAAAACATGCCACGATTATTTAAATTCAGATCGTTTGAAATGAAGTCATTATTTCATCATGAACCCTCACTGTGGAGTGCAAGCGACTCTGAGTTTAGTGGCAATAATTCAGACTGTTTCACTGCCCAAATGCCCGTGATATTTCAGTGTTCCTTTGAGGCCCTCTAAATATGGGCACAAAATCCTGCAAAGTTGGACAAGAATTGTGGTAATAAAAAAACAAAGTGAGCAGTCTTGAAAAGGGCAGGGGTCAAATGGCCTTTTACGCATAGGAAAAAGGAAGGTTTTGGTTTCCATTGTAGGCTACTTTGCCTGTTTGAACAAAGTTAGTTTCCATTCAAGGCAGTTGAGTTTGGGTTAATGGACATAAACAGTGTGAATATTTTAGGCGTCATTAAGCAACGTAGTTCAGATTGCTGTGTTCTGAACATGGACAATTTGTAATACCAATAAAATCTTTTTAGCGATCTGTACCAATTAGCTTTCAAAGCTTTAAATCGGTCTTCAAAATCTTCATGTTCTTCTAAACACCCTTAAAACGAATGTACGCCTCAATAGCTTGATCTTATTTAGGGCTTGAACAGTTTTCAAAGACGCTCAGTTTCAAAGCTCCCTTTATAGATTCAATAGACAGCAAACACTCATCTCAAATGGTTGATACTTCTGAGCGTATTAGTGAGACATTTTCTTCGCAATGCAAAATTAGCCCTATTACGGAAGCGATGGTTTGATGAGACTCTGCCGCAATATCGACAACAGTCTTTCAGACCGGAAAATAATGTTTAGACAAACAAATGTTTTTTTTTCATTGCGTTTTCCACTGAACATTGATAATACCTCAAATATATGTTTCTGATAGTGAAAATACAAAATCTGACTGGTAGGCCTAAATCCTGCCCACACATTTCCCATCTCAGTTGTATTAATAAAAACAATATAACTCTAGAAAATTTTATATATATATATATATATATATATATATATATATATATATATATATATATATATATATATATATGTACAGTGCTCAGCACTACCGAGTACACTCTATTTTGAAATATTTTTATCCATTCTCAGTGTATATAGACAATGAAATTTGGTGCGTCTAAACAAAACAGATTTATTAAACAGATATAATAAAATTATCTTTCAGTCACGAAACATATTTAGAAATTGAAAAATAATCAAATTAAATTCAAGCAAAATTTGCAAAAGAAATTACAACCTACACAATTTCAACTAAATTAAAAAAAAATATATATATATAATTTTTTTTTTTTTTGCTTCTCTTGATTTTTCCTTTTTTTGTATTTAATATTTTTCTATAACATATAATTTTGGGTATACTAGTTTTTAGACGGTTATCGTAAGTTATTTTGTTAGATAAGCTCCAGATTTGGCTTCAGTACTCACTAATCTAATGTAGATGCACAAATATAATATTGTATAGCTTCCTATTAAAAATATGAATTTAAAAAAAGTGATTTGTGAGGGGGCGATGCAGTGGCGCAGTAGGTAGCTGTCGCCTCACAGCAAGAAGGTCGCTGGTTTGAGCCTCAGCTGGGTCAGTTGGCATTTCTGTGTTTGCATGTTCTCCCTGCAATTGAGTGGGTTTTCTCCAGGTGCTCCAGTTTACCCCACAAGTCTAAAGACATGCGGTACAGGTGAATTGGGTGAGCTAAATTGGCTGTAATGTATGTGTGTGAATGAAAGTGT